TGTAATGTCACTTACAATCATAAAAGGCAAGTGGCACTAAATACACTTCCTTTATAGATGGTACTCGGTAAGAAAATTACGGGACCGTTAGGCAATTTATTATTAGATTATAAAGTGGAGTTCGACCGAGTTTTTGCAATGAGAAAAAGCTTTACAGATTTATTGTATCAATACCTGAATCTAAACGTAGGCATTCATTAATCTACATTCTTCATCGAGAGCTAGCGCATATTTGACCGTTTTCAAAAAAGAGATACTCAATTTAGATATAGCGGCTTTTGTATGTCTGTATGTTACACGATATATTCGCTATTTTAAATCGTATTTTCTTGAGGTATTTTTAGTTAAATAAGTAATTGTAACAATTTTAAAATGTTCAGGATGAATTTTTTACACCATTCTCAAACTATTACCATTCTATAATGTAGTTAACAGACCTGAACTTCGACTATTTCTAAAATTAGATTTTTTACATATCACTTTTAATGCCATCTAGCTTTACTAATATTTATAAATGGTTTAGCGTGATCACAATTCATTAAATAAAATGAAGGAGAAATATATATATATATATATATATATATATATATATATATTTCTCCTTCATTTCATTTAAAGAATACTAGCGGCTCACCCTCGCTTCGCTCGGGTTCACCTCTAGAAAAGCACAAACAGATCTATCCCACGGGAACTGTTCATTTTTCCGGGATGAAAAGTAACCTGTTGTTTGACCGGCAATATAAGGTATCAGCATGCCAAATTTTACTAAATTAGGTGAATAAGTTGTTGTGTACTAAGCTGTATAAGTTACTATAGTTTTTAACTATACCACGAAAACTCTTTAATTTTTCGGGATGAAAAGTAGCTGATTTGTACGTATGAACTATATTATTGTAAAGTTTCATTAAAATCCAATCAGTAGTTTTTGTGTACTAAGCTGTATAAATTGTTATAGTTTTTTAACTATCCCACGGGAACTCTTTAATTTTCCGGGATGAAAAGTATCTAAGATATTGCACGGGGATATAAGGTACCACCATGCAAAATTTCATTTAAATCGGTCCAACAGAATCGGAGATTAGCCCGTACAAACAGAAAAACAGACAAACAGCTGGCTCGGGTTCGTTCATACCTACGAATATGTTGTATTATCTCTTTAACCATTTGTCCAAATTATATGCAGCAAAAGGGAAAAGTCTTTTGTTTTAAATATTTTAGACGATAAATTTACTTATTTTTATAAGAATTCATAATTGTTGATAATATGACCAATAAACATGACCTACCGATTTAAATTATTTTTTTAATATAAAAAACTACTTTTTGTGACTTAAATATAAAAGTTAGACATATGCTGTCGCTGACTTTTTTGTAGGCATTATTAAGCTCTACAACTTTTCTCTAGAACATAATCATATATCTCTCATCGTTAAGGCAGCGTTCGTAAGAAACGTTTTCGTTCGACCGTTTTTTCTCCGACTTACTTTGCAAATCCGACTACCACGAAAAAGCCTTTTCATTTTTCGGGTTAATATATAGCCTATGACACTCAGAAAGAACGTGGCTTTCTATTGGTAAAAGAATTTTGAAAATCGGTTCAGTAGATCCAGAGATTACCCCCTACAACGTCACAAACTCACAAACTCACAAACCCACAAACTCACAAACTCACAAGATCACAAACTTTACCTCTTTATAATATTAGTATAGATATATAAGTAATGTCCCTACTTCTTTCTATACACCATTCACAATACCTATAAAATAATTTTAATTAAATTGAAAGCTTAATTCTAAAGGACATTATTTCTGATGACTTGTGCAGTTTAATAGTTAGTACTCACTTTCTCAGATATAACTTAACCGTTAAAACCGTCTACGCCACAAAATAAATTATAATTTATATATAAATGGGAGAGTGTTAAATCTAATGGATTTTTTTAATGATCAACTAAGATGGTTAGAGATTATGGATCTTGTTCTCATGTATTGTGTGCATGAATTTAGACAAGATTATTATATATAATAATACTAGCGACTCACCCTAGCTTTGCTTCGGGTTCGTACCTAGTGAAAAACAAAAACAAATCTATCCTACGGGAACCGTACATTTTTCCGGATTAAAAAGTAACTTATGTGCTATTCCAGACTATAATCTATCTCTGCCAAATTTCATCCTGGTTTGATTGTGTAACAAACATCCATCCATCCAAACTTTCGCATTTATCTAGTAGTAAGATTATAGAGCGATTAATATCTTCGTCTAAAGCCACATGTCTTACTAATAAAAGTCTTAAATTCATGTATCGACTCATTTTCTGTAATAATACATAGTTCAATTGCTGGGCTGAGAGCTTTAAAGACATGAAAATTATCTTGACAATTTCTTATATATAACTAAAGTGAACATAATATATTATTCTTGAAAATCCTTCCCTACTACAGTCATGTAGAGGATGTAAGTACGTATAAGAGGTCTCCATATTTTAATTAAGAATTGTAGAAATTAAAATTTATGCTAATGCTTGTATTTGCTATATTTACTTAAGTTCAGAAAAAATTATTAGTGTACCTAGTTTTAATGAAAAACAATATAAAATAAATAGCGCTTCCACGATCTACACCTATATATTATAATTTCTTCTATAATAGCACCAATTATATTTGTAGAGCAGTGGTAACGCAATCGCTTGGAAAGCTCGTTGAAGCTTAATTTCTCTCGCGTTTTGTGTAGTTCAATTCTCAATAGACATTCGCTGAAAAGGGTATTTTTTCTATTATTATTATTGTATACATTATCTAAAATCGTCTAAAAGTTTATATATATTTTTTGGTATTTTATCAACTCTACGCTCTATCCTTACTAATAAACCTATTAACAAGCACTTAATATTCCTAATGCAATTTTTAATTAGCTTTTCGCGTGTAAGCATTTAGTTGTTCGCCACATCCGCATGATCTTCAGATAAACTGTTTATCTCAAGGAAATTACTATAATTTACTGTTCCAATTCTAGCCTTGCTCAATGTTTAACGGCTTAGATACTGGCTGTCGGAACGAGATTACTGCAGAAATGGTATCTAATCTAAGTGGAAGATTTAGAACTCAATAGATATATTATGTACTAATGACAACTTTAACTTCTAACATAGATAGAGAGTAGCAACTCATTTCGCAACATTTCGTTTTCTATCTATTAACTTAATTTAAAAAACTAAGTCATCCATTGCATAATCAAAATAAATATGTCTCAGAATCGAACTTGCTGCTATTACTAATTTAAACTTATCGAAGTCGTGGTGGAAAAATTGTTTATCTAATATATTTAATCTGAATCTCGGAAACGGCTCCAACGATTCTCATGAAATGTACTATCCAGGGGATTTCGGGGGCGATAAATCGATCTAGATTAGTTTTATGTCTGGAAAACGCGTTTTTTCGAGTTTTCATGTGGTTTTGTTTCGCATAATTCCACGCAAAATATGGTCGCTAATTCGCACGCTAAGACAGAAGAATCGTGTTCAAGCGCCCAAGGCGCAAGTTTGACAACCATAGGGGTCTGAGTTCGTATCCCGGTCGGATACAAAGTTTTTACTTTTGTTTTTTTTGTATTTATCAAAAACTCTGAGCGAAGCTCGGTCACCCAGGTACTGATTACTTTATGACTGAAAAACTACACCGACTTTATTATAATAAATTATATTTTATTAAAGGTACTTATTCCTCCCTTAGGGATTGTTTTTTATTTATATAATATACATACATCTATTTATTAAAAGAAAGGATCATTTAATTCATAATTCGCAAATACACCAAAATATAACATTTTTTTATTTTCAATTTTATTGCGGTTTTATTTATATGTTTTATAACAAACTTGGTGACGGGAGAGAGTCTTATCTTAATGAAATACAAAAGATAGAATACTAAAGACGGTAATACCTGACTTACTAATATAAGTATTTTATTCTATGCCTAGTCTAGATTCCTTCTAAGAAACCTTATAAACTCGTCACATATTTTTATCTTATTTTATACGGAGGGAAAAATGTGAAAACGCTACAAGTTTTACTCGAGTTATTTAAATGGAAATTGAAAAGTTCTAGGTCCATCATTTATGGTGACCATGGATACTAGATTCACTTTTTACGATTTATTCATACCTTGTTTTTCTTTTTAAGGAACACTTATTTATACTTAAAACAAAATACCACGCACTCCCTGCCCATTTCCCAATCACTTGGGGTCGGCGCAGAACATCTTCTGTACTGCTGATAGGATTTGGCAAAAGTTTTTCGACCGGCTGTCTGCTTGACATCAACCCTCCTTGGGAATGGGTTGGGAATTCCTATTGTCTATCGCAAACGTCTTGCAATCCATATTTTTTGAAACATTTTTTATAGTATTACTTAAAGTTTAATGTAATTTTCCGATATATTTTAATATAAATTTTGATCACACAATAAATTTTGTTTTGACGTTGTCAATTTTTTCTAAAAAAAAAATACTAATAAAATACCACTTACTCACTGTCTGAATAATCATGAAATCTTAATTTCTCATTCTCATCACATGTATATATTCAGAAAACACTCACTAAGAATAATAAGAATGGATAGATCAAGGGAGCAAAAGCTTATAAAGCTTTTTATTTTTTAACCACCAACTTACCATCGCTTTGCTTGGGTGCGTCTCTACATGTCAAACTGTAACCTATGTTTTACTCCAGGGCTAAGTCTATCTGTATACGAAATTAATCGTCGACACGTTTGGCTCAGTGTGTAGTGATCCTACTTGCTATGCCAGAGGTTGCGGGTTCGAATTCCGCTGGGGGCATTCATTTGTGTGATGATGTACGTATTTAAAATTATATATGTGTAGTGTATCAACTATCTGGTATCCATAACACAAGTCTCGTAGCTTACCATGGAACTAGATGGTGCTGTGTGTTAATGTCCCAACACATTTCTTATTATTATTTATTTATTTTATTTAATTTCATGTCGTTTCAATGTGTAGAAGTAACACAAAAAAATAAGCCAGATAGATTCAATAAAATCTTTCTTTTAGGTGCAGTCGAGACAGTACCACCGTACAGGATGCCGCCGGCGCCTGAAGCGGCCCTACCCGGCGCACCCGCACCGTCCACCCCCGCTGCACTGCATACACATTCAGCGAAGTTTCCCGTAAGTTATTTAAATTATATTAATAATATTCTCCTGACCGGTTTCGGCCTCAGCCAATCTCATTGAGACTAGCCAACTGCGCAGGAGATATTATAGTGCACAAGTGTACGCGCAGACACAAGTGCACTCTCTATTCTGTCACTTTCACACTCCGGTGGAACCACCACTATTCGACTTGACCGGTAGAGAGTTAAGACGCAGGACCGATGGCTACGCCAAGCATAGGGGTGAAACACCGCCAGCTTTCCAACTCCAGGCTGTTACTATACAGGCTTACTAAACAGAAAGATACAATAACTAAACTTGGCCCTCGACTCGAACCCAAGACCTCTAGATTTGTAGACGTTCATGCTAGCCACTACACCACCGAGGCAATTAAACAAAATATAATACACCAAATGATAATACAAACAAGCCAGTTATTAATTAAAAAAACCTTTTAGCAGTAAATTCTCTGCTATTATTTTATAGAAAAAATGTGACATTAAACATTGACAGTTATAAAAACAATAAACCGTTTTCTCAATTATCTCACATCGAGAACAAAATAAATAGTAATTCGATTTTTACTCTTACGGTACAATTCAAACGACTCGCAGTTAGCCTCTAATATTATTTATTTACTCATTACACATAACTTATTTCTCATTTAAAACAAAACTATCTTTTTGGATTCCTTCGCGTATTTATTTGAATTTTTGGTTCCCAACGTTTCGAATGCTTTACAGCAATCATGGTGACGGGAGAGACTAAGGTTTTAGACGTCTCATTAGTTGTTACATAGATGTTACATATGGTACCTACCTATAAAATTTTACAATATTTTCTATTTCTTACAAATCTAAAAATATATATTTTAGAAAAAAAAACAACCTAAGACTACATAATAAAAAATAATTCGAATTTGCCTGTACCTTTCTCTTTATGAAGTCGGTAAAAGAGTATAAAAGCTTCATTTAATTATCTTATATACATACTTATAATATAGGTAATAGTTATTAACGATTATTACTATATAACTAACAAGTTAAATAATTGTATGTAACCAGTTAACAATAATAACATTAAATGAATACTGTAGCAATTTATTCCCAGCTGTCATGTGGAGGCTGACGAGCGACGCCGGGTCAATGACATTGTTATATTTAGAACCGATGGAAATACCTTTCGTTTATTGCATTTTCTTGCTTTTTGTTAGGATTCTTGATATTCTTTTGTGAAATCGTGAGAATAGCTTACGTGTTTTTTTAAATATATGCATTTGTTTAGTGTCGTTTTATCGCTATAGATTTTTAAACGGGTTCAAAAATATGTTGGCTAATTTTAATATAGGATTTTTTGTATATTATCAAGATTTTTATAAATTTTATAAATGCGTAATACATAGAAAGTAACTTATTAATCGAACAATATATCAATCTCAATGAGATTCATCTCACCGGTGGTAGGACTCTGTCAAGCCTGAGGAGTGCGAGTGGATGGGATGACCACCCCCTTATCTATTTCTCCCGCCAAGCAACAATGATTACATTGTTGTGTTCCGGCTTGAAGGATAAGGTAGCCAGCGCAATTACAGGCAAGAGGCATATCATCTTAGACCTCACAGTGACAACGCACCTGTGGTCCTACATTTTTGTTACATAAAACCTAAGTGCATGAACCGTTGGTGTTATGGGCGATACAAATGCACTCTCTATTATTTTTGCTTCGATATGAATATGAATGATAATAGTAAAAAACATGACCGACGGCTTTACGTGCTCTTTCGGTAGTATAACTTCGGACATCCGAACTGCTGCTGAGAATTTCTTAACAGAAAACCAACCAATAGCTATTCTGGCTTGACTCGGATTCAGAAACAGGACCTACATATGTACCTTAATCTAAAGCGAATTTCTCCATGATGTTATAACATATTATTATGGGTTATATTGGGATGAAACTTACCATACATGGAACACTAGCATGGTGAAAAAACAGATTCAACCTTATCCAAGTCCATCGAATAAATTGCTTGGTGACAATAAAACTGAAATTACATATTAATATTATAGGTAATTAAAGATTAAATGACTGTTAACGTTTAAACGATGCATAGGCGGATCGCTAGTAAAATATTATCTTGGTATTAAATTAATATTTAGCGCCCATTTCATCATTTTCATTGCTGTCATCATTCGTAATATAAATCTAGGCAATATAAAATCAAATTTTTGCTTTAATAATTATTATTATATAATTTGAGATATAAAGTTTTCACTATTTATTGCTTATATGAATAAATATTAGATGATAAGTCTAGAGAAAGTGATGTGTGTAACAATATACTCTTCAATTTCGTCCATTTTTTATGAGTAACTAGCGATTCACCCTCACTCCGTTAAGGTTCGTCCCTAGGTACTTTTTAAGAATTAGTATAGATTTCTCAGAGATGAGATACTTTCCCGCAGGAAAAAGGATCCTATTTGTTGACCCAGATAACCAGCTATCACCATACCAAATTTCATGAAAATCTGTTCAGTGCTTTTCTCGTCATGTATTCACAGACAGACAGACAAAAATACAATGTCTTCTGATCTTTTTCCCTATAATTTAAAAAAAAACTTAATATTTCTCTTACATGAAATAATTGCAAAATCCACTTTATTAAGGAAATCCTATCTAGATTAAGTAGTAAAATGTATAGAAATTAAATTATTCATATTTTTTATCTAATAAAGCAATATTAGGGTATGTTGGTCAGTAAGTAAATCACTTGCTCTCCTTTCTTAAGAATATTCCTATAAAATATACCGTTTATACTATAAAATTTACTGACAGTTAATGGTCTCTGTAAAATCGCAATGCACTTGTTAAAATTGTGTACCGCGGATACGGGACTTTTATAATTTGCAAAGCAATCATTTTATACCTCTTGAGAATTAGAAATTAGCAATATGCAACACATAATAGAAATAAAAATTCTAAAACTTATGAAGTGATTTTTTGAAAGATTAGCAATATAAAATAAGTCCTTTATTTATAACTAGCGACTCATCCTCACTTCGCTCGGGTTCGTCCCTAGGTTGATTCCCCATACAAACTTTCATCCCCATTTTCACCTTCTTAAGAGATGATTTCCGGAATAAAAAGTATCCTATGTCCTTCCCCGGGTTTCAAACTATCTTTTTACCAATTTTCATCTAAATCGGTTCAGTAATCCAGAGGTTACTCCCTACAACGTCACAAACTCACAATTCACAACCTTACCTCTTTATAATATTAGTGTAGATGAATCCCAATAAGCTTTATCCAGCTATCTATCTGTGTTTTTCTTACTAGTACTCGTAAAATGAATCTTATATCAAATTTCTATCTCTACTAACGAAAACTTTGGATCAATAGGTTAACCCGTAAATTCAAATTCAAAAGCCAAAAAAGCCTGGAGGGTATCACTTCATTCCCAAGGCGTGCTATCTTTTGTAAAATCATTAAATGCATAATAACTTTTAGCACACAAACGTTCAACCTTTTATTTTTTTAGTTGGCGATAGAAGATTTTTGATCGTTTTCTGGGATCCTGTTGTAAATCGTACGGCAATTCTCAATTATTCATTTTGGTTACGACACCATCAGTCTAGACCTCAGTCTACCGCCAGAATTCGCCTGAGCTCAGAGCTGGATATATAAGTGCACAAGTATAGGGTAAAATACAAGTGCACTTTATTTTTATTACCTTACACTCTAACAATACAATGAAATGATAATCAGACATAGCTGGAGAAATATTAGACTTTGGACGAATGGTTATATGCTCTCTGTAACGATTTTACAGATATGGAGTTATAATACCGCCGAAGTCCTCTCCCCGCCTGTTCCTAAAAAAATATTTACATCAATAAATTCCTCATAATTATTTTAATCTAACTCGGGATTCGAACTCAATACCTCTTGATCTCCGTCTATACATGCCAGCTTCTTCTTGACCATTTCATATATACCGCATCCGGGGCGTCACAGATACTTGCATGACTAATAAAAATTCTTGCCTCAAGCGGAAACAGAACCTGTTACCATAAATGGCAATCTCGTAATCGTTTTACGTTCTTTAAGGGATCTTCTAAGGGATAGAGTGTGAAACTGTTAAGTAATTACTTAACCATACGTAGTTTTAACGCGTAATAGATATAATACTTTCTTAGATTTACGCAAATATTTGACAATATAAAACAAACTATCTTTTCGGATCATTTCGCGTAATAGATTTAAATATTGAGAGAGATCGAAGAAAGTTTATTGTTACTTTGCTTATACATTCGACTTATGTAACATGTTAAGATATAATAATTTGCCCTGTCATAGGGATGACTTATGGCTATAAGTAGAAAGTGCGAATTAATAAAAACGAGTGACTTACTCTCGTTTCGCTCTATATATCGTATCTAAGCTTGAATGGATTAAAAACGCATAAAAGACAAACTTCCAAAGATTTGTTTTTTGTGCCAGGAATTTTCGCCCATATGAGTGTATACAGAATAACTGCCTCGGTGGTGTAGTGGCTAGCATGTACGGCTGCACACCCAGAGGTCCTGGGTTCGAGTCCCGGGTCGGGCCAAGTTTAGTTATTGAGTCTTCCTGTATAGTAAGTCTCAGTAACAGCCCGGAGTTGGGAAGTTGGCGGTGTTTCACCCCCGTGCCTCGGAGAGCACGTAAAGCCGTCGGTCCTGCGCCTTAACTCTCACCGGTCGTGTCGAGTGGTCGTCCCACCGGAGTATGAGAGTGATAGGAATAGAGAGTGCACTTGTGTCTGCGCGTACACTTAAGCACTATAATATCTCCTGCGCAGTTGGCTAATCTCATTGAGATTGGCCGCCGTGGCCGGAATCGGCTAGGAGAACATCATACAGAATAGCTCACCAAAGTTTGCACAATCGAATCAATGGTTTAAAAATGCAGAGAGGACAAACATACGAACATTCGTTTTTATTAATATTATTTAATATAAGAGAAGATAAAGTTTAATAATATTTAATAGATTTTTTTCTTTATTAGAACAATGCACTAAAATTACATTAAAGTTACATTTTCGAAACATAATCTAATCTTGTTTATGTTATATCTTAATAAATTATACATACTAATAAAATAAAGTCCAACTGTAATAAATAAAAAAAATGAAGTTTTAGGGTTACATACATATGTATATATTTATAAAGTTATCAATGAAAAAAAAAAGTATCTTTACTCTTTATCTCAAAAAATATGTTATTTATAATATTTATAAAATAAACGCTCAAATATTTATACAAAACTAGCAGTACCCGCGGCTTCGCCCGCGTCCAAACTTCCGATCGCTAACAAAATTCACAACAATATGAAGATTACCTGAAAATTTCATCAAAATCGCTCCAGCTGTTTTGGAGTCCATAGGAAACATACATACACACATAGATTTTTATTTTATTTAATCAACAAATTTATTTATTGCTCGGGAAATGGAGTATTTTATGAAAATTTTGTAACACACCATCAGGACCCATTGAAATATACACACAAAATTTCATCCAAATCGGTCTAGCCCTTTAGGAGGAGTAGGTTAACAAACACACGTACAGAAGAATTATATATATTAAGATAATAAATATAGTAAAATGATAAAAGTGCGGTTATTTTTATTAGTAGAATGTGAATGACGACGCACAACTAGTTGAAAGGCCATATTATCTTAAACACGTTTTCGATATCGACGTCATAATATGATAACATTCATAATTAACATACATTTATACCTATGATATAAAAATGTTATTTAAATAGTTTCAAGCATATAGTAAAAGTTCTCTCAAAATCTGTCAGTGCTTTCAAAATAAAATTGTTACCACAATTTACATACATACAAACGTACATACAAAACCCAAACAATCAATAAAATATACATATAATTGCCACTAGTATGGGGTCTAAGCCCTTTTTAATGGAACTTTTAACAGAATAACATAGGTTTTTTACTGACAAAGCTAATTACGATAAATAAACAAATTAAAGATTCAAGTATACCTAATTATATTTTGCAATATTCTCTAAACATACTTAAGATATTATGTACATATTACGAATTCAGATAGATATTGATAAATTTAAATACATTAACAAAATATACAAGCTCACAAATTACTTTTTAATATGCATAAGCTTAAAAGCTTAAGACTAAACTCTGCTGGTGGCCGCATATATTATACGTTTGCCTAAAAAAAATATTGTAAATTTTTAGCTAGTAGGTATCTGTACTTGAATTTTAAATATTATCGTCCATGTAAAAAAAAACATGAAAAAAAAATTTTCGGTGTACGCAGGAAATGAAATAATGATGTGCCTAATTCAACCTTAGCTCTTTTCCTATAGGATTTAAAAATTTATATACTACTAACGACTGACTCTTGCTCCGCTCGAGTTCGCCTAGCTACGTTTTAACGTTGTATAGATTTCTTATAGACGAGAATTTTCCCGCAGTAAAAAGTATCCTATACGTTGACCTAGATATCCCGCTATCATCATATTAAATTTCATTATAATCTGTTCAGTGGTTTTATCGTGATGCGATTACAAACAGACAGACAGATAGACAAACAGAGAGACAGACAGACAGACAACAGACAGACACACAAAAATTCTAAAAACAATAGATTCAGCCTCTGTATCGATAATAATGACTATTTCAATAAGATTTTCCAAAAATTATTTAACACCTTCAGGTAAATTTCTAAGAAATTAATTAAAATTCTAAGAAATCTATTGTTAACTGACACGCCGGCGTGTCCGTGGTGAGGGATTAATGTACAGATTCAGAATTTTATTGTATGTATACAATATACATAGATTAACAAATATTGATAATGGCAATGCGTACGCCTTAAAAAGAGTGAAGCAGGTTCAAACACCAAGTCTCGCACCTCTGTGATTTACATGTACGAAGCTTATTTTCAATACCATTGACTCTATCTCATACCGTGAACCTTATGAGAAAACCTGCATGAAAGAAATTAAGCCGTTTTCAAAAAACACGTTATTCTGCAAACCCATTTATAGCCAGCATGGACTAGGGCGTTTTCTTTTTGGCACACCCGAGCAAAAGAATGTTTAAATAGCTTAATAATTATTATACTTTGAAAAAAATATATACACAAATTACATTTAAAGCTTAATTTAAAAACTTAAAACAAATATATACATATAAATGATGAATCTGTTACAGATAGAGCGTGAAGTGATTCTCTCGTCAGGCGACAAAAGCTCCAAAGTGCCCATCTTACAGGAAGCCAGGAAGAGAGGACGATTGGCAGCAGTTGCACCTGATACTCCTCCGAAAGCTCTATCTGCCTGGACTCATGCTGAGGTAAAGATTAATGTGTCCGTTATATGGCGAAAATTAATAGCTTACATGATTAGGCAGTGGTAACCCAATGGTAGCGCCCACACTTTGAAAGCCGAGTGATGCGGGTTCAAATCCCGAATATCGCATTTCTGATATCTTCATGTGTGAATCATTACTAATATGATTATCAATTGTATTACGATGATGGTAAAAATCGTTTCAAAAGCTGCATGTCTGAGAGAAAGTTTTCGAAAGATATGTGAAGTCCGCCCGCACTTGGCCAGAGGATGGTGGACTATGGCCTGATGAGATCATATTGAGAGACCCATGTCCATTAGAGTAGGACGTTAAAAAGGGCTGAATACACATACATACTCGTATATTAGGCTCTAGAGAAAAAAAACTCTATAGTTGTTTATTATATTACATACACGTTAATTTAGCTCTGAAAGCTCCCGTTAACAATAGGCTTTCGATTAAACGATAGCTTATGATTCAACTATTTCACCTTCATACCAATTATAAACTCTCATAGATTATTTTATATTATCGATAAAAATACATTGCACATTATAATATCAGAACAAATAACATAACGAGTTTATGTTATTTGTAGAAAATTAATTGCCTTCGCTTATCTTAAAATAAAACACTATCAAAAATTCCCAACTTTCGAGTATTAGCACCATAGCAGTCTCATGTAATTAAATACATGGCAATCAAGTCTATGAGAAACTTGCATTTAATATAAACTAGTTTTCGCCAGCCCATTCCCATGGTGCGTCAATAAGAACGAGCTTTTGTGTGGTGCATTTGTAAAGACTGCTTAAAATCAATTCTTTAGTATCAGAAATTATGCAATGTATATATGAATTTGAGCATATAGACATTTATATATAAACAGGCAAAGACAAAACAGTTCACTAGCTTTTTCTGTTTTACTCCTCTGTATGTCAATCGATTTTCTTTTTACTTTTTTTGTTTAGTAGCTATTGACGAACTTTAGTGTTGTAAATAAAAAGAAATGATTATAATAATAACAACCACTTTTAAATAATATTTAGTACTAGCATTGCCCACGGCTCCGCCCGCGTTCATATGACCAAAAACCAAATTCTTAGGTTTTACATATTAGTATACTCTTATAATGCAGTTTTTGTATTTTTTCTCAGAAATGAGATATTTTCTCGCGGTAAAAAGTATCCTACATATTGACCCGGATAACCAGCTATCATGCTAACAAATTTCATCAAAATTTGTCCAGTGGTTTTCTCGTCTCGATGCGGTAACAGACAGACAGACAGACAGACAAAAAATCTAAAAACTATAGATTCGGACTCTGTATCGATAATAATGTCTATTTCAATAAGATTTTCCAAAAAATATTTAATGTACAGATTCGACTTAGTTACAATTTTATTATATGTATAGATTAAATTATATAACTAGTTAAATGTACCTATTTGAATATTTATAAATAAAATTGATAAATATTATAATGGTCACCGCGACAAAATCGGTAAAATATCCACAATGTCTCGGCAGTACCATAAAGATTGTAGAAAATGTCTTATTATCCAGAGCAAAATTATTTAATGACTTCATTACAGAGCATTCACATGCTTAATTTAATAGTGTGAAATACAAAATATATGCGCTATAAATCATGTTCCAAGTGGATTTCATTCATAAATGAAAGTTTTACATAGATTGTTAGAATCCTAGTAATTACCATGCAAGTAGCGAACATGTCTTCAAAAAGAAACAAGAGACAATTATAACTTGTTTTTGTTATTTCATTGTGTATAATAATGGGAGGTTTCGTAAGCTCGTACCGCCTTTCTACTGTATTTTTATTTTCTATGAAAAATGGATTTTCTTATCTTTTTTTACATATTTTTACTATAAAGTGAAGGAAAAATATAAATAAGAACTCCAAAAACTCCAAATATCTCTAAAAAAGCAAAGAAACTTAATTTAATTTAGCTTAATTTTTTCTTATAAATTTAATTTAAATTAAACTTAAGTAAATATACATAATATGTATTTTAAAATGTAAGCTATAAATAATAATACTATTTATTTCCTTGGTTCGATTATATTTATTCGATGATATATATACATATAAGATAATATAAGAGTTGAAATACATATTTTAGGGTAAGTGCTTCAAACATTTATAATATCATAATAATATACATATATATACAATTTTGATCATCCATTTGAATCTAAATCTTCAAGCAACCGATCGTCAGTCACAACCATAATAGTAACAACTACAAAACCAAAATATTGGTATAACCATATATACGCACTTACCTATATAAAATTCCAATAGAAAGACTGGCCCACTTGTGTTATTAAAGGCTTGACCGCTCATACCATGGCAAATGTATAAGTGTATGGGGCAAAGAACTCCATCGTTATGCCTCGCTTGTCGCCTCGCTCGTTAAGCAGGAAGGACGGACAAATCAACATATTCTCATATACATATTACCTTGAATGATTCTTAAAAAGCTTTAGACGCGATTTATTTTCTTTAATTTAGTTAATTAGTCGTCTCTAGTTAAACTTCGTTTTGATGAAGCTTTTTTCCTAAATAATGTAGAGCCGCTTCGATATTTGCTAGGTAATTTATATTGTACAAACGATTCAACTTCGCTTCACTCTAGTGCATCCCTGCTGTGCCGTGCTGTAGCCTATAAATTCGCATTTATAATGCAATTTTTTTAGTGTTAGCCGTCTTAACACTTTCTAAGATTTACACGAATATTTGACATTTTAAATAAAACTATCTTTTCGCATTTTTTTGGTGTATTTATGTTGATTTTTGGTCCCCGACGTTTCGAATGCTTTCAAACGCTACACATCCGGGAAAAGAATCCGAAGACATAGTTTTATTTAAAATTAGATGTATTTTTATGTTTAAATGTATTTCTTTGATAAAGATATGCCGTTTTTGTTGATATATACGAGTATCACGAATAGGACATCATCATCATTATCATTTAATATTGCTTATGTACGTTGTTAGTATTCTAAATAAATAAATAATAGTAATCCGATTATTTTAAATAAAAGCGACTCACCTTCGTTCCGCTCGGGTTCGTCCCTACGTTGATTCCCCATACAAACTTTCATCCCCATTTTTACCCCTTTAAGAGATGATATTCGGGATAAAAAGTATCCTATGTCCTTTCCAGGGTCTCAAACTATCTTCTTACCAAATTTCATATAAATCGGTTTAGTAGATCCAGAGATTACCCCCTACAACGTCACAAACTTACTAACATTACCTCTTTTTAATATTAGTATAGATTTAGTTATTGATTAGATATTTGTATGAACCATACTAATATCTGTACCGTTCTGTCAATAACTTCACTATCAAGGAAAAAGATACAAAGCAAATACAAAAAAATATAAACAGATTTTAAAAGGAATTTAAATGACAAAGTTGTACGATAAACATAAACTTCAGAGTTCAATTTTGAATAAAACAACTTCTTTTGTAAATAAATATAAGTTGTAAAATGTAAATAAGAATCTATAAATGTCCGATTATTTGTATAAAAATTAATATTTAAACAGATAGACTCAGAAGAACGCAATATATTATTATATAGTCTGTCAATGAATTATGAATGGGATATATTTACGCAACTGGTTCGCAAATAAAATATACTATATAAAAACAGTATAAAAATCAAACCATCAATGCAAAAATAGTGTAACTTATCCTTTCTTGCTCCTGAGATCATTGTAAAAATATTAAAAAAAAAATAAGACTGTGTACTCGTAAATAAGGATTTAAGTAGATTATAGCTGTGATGATAATAAATAAAAAAGAAAATTAATTTAAAAAAGAGGAATTTGTGTGCAATTCTATAAAACTTGTGTAGAGCTAACACATATGTATGTACATATATAGGTATATAAGTAGAAACCAAACTCGCTATAATAAACATTTTATTTCATTGATCAATTGTTTCAAAATAATAATATAACCGAGTATCCTATAAAAAAATTACATTCATTCATGTAGAAACTGGTAGATATTTAAAAAAAATCTTAATCGAATTTTCTTACATCATATATATATAAAATAGCTTTAAATCTCTAAATTCTTTATGACTATATCTATCTAATATATAACATTCTCGTGTCACTGTGTTTGTTACAAAACTCTTCAGAAACTAATATCAATCATCAATTCTTATAAAATTTTGTTTGTATATTCAGTAGGTTTGAGAATAGGACGTAAACTATTTTTCATACTCCTAAGTAATAAGGTTGAACCACCCTTGGGATGAATCCAAGCGGAGCGAGGGTGAGTCACTAGTACATATATAATGAGTACATCAAAACTTCAACAGCTTTTAATTCAACAATCCTGTGACTTGGCGAGTCAGTCGTCAATAAACTAAAATAGGCATATTTTAGGCAATATACAACGTCCTTTGTTTTATTAACTCCGTGATTCAGAGTGTAAGTATTCTGCGCACGCGCAGCCAGGCCCGTACGGCGAAGCGAACGGTGTCTAGCGCGTGCGGCCGTCCTGCCCCGATTGTGTAACAAAGACTAAGATATCGCTATGGAATACTGTAATATTATTGTAAACTACCATCCTATCAAAAACATACATATGAAAAACAGCCAAGTTCCTACGCTTTTCAGTTGTTTTAAAGAAAATCTGCTATGTCCTATGCTAACTTGACTGACACCTTGTCTTGTGTCTTCATCGTGGTATGGCATATTATATCTACCTAATATAATAGAGGAATCAAATTCAATGCCCGCATGGTGGATATGGATCTTGTCGTGTTCATCGTACTGAAAGCATACCGATAAAGTACAGCGCTAAATATTCGAATGAAAAAAAAATGAGACGTACAAGAAAAAATATGTATATTTAATTAATTATTCAGTAATTGAAAGATCAATTCTTAAAGAAAGAAAGAAGAAAGTGATTCCTATACATTGTACACTATTCACGTAGTAATACACAATATACGTATGTATATGTAAATAATAAATATAAACAATAGATATAAGATAGATAGCCTAAGTCGTTTGAAGCCATTAAGCGAAAAAAAAAACATCTTTTACTATGACCACTATTTAAAGCTTAGGAATATTTGTGGCGTAATAGAAGCCGTGACAAACTTTTCTTATACGAAAGCTTCCATACAAAGTTGAGGTCATATTTAGTAGTTAAAACTATTTTAAATAAAACTATCTTTTCGGATTATTTCACGGATTTATTTTGGTACTTGGTTCCCGACGTTTCGAATGTTTTACAGCAATTATGGTCACGGGAGAGACTAAGGTTATAGACGTCTCAAACACATACTTGTTACAGACAGTGCCTACCCACTTTTTTACACAAATGATTTAAAAAATTTTAAAAAATGACTATAACATAACTATAGATTCGGCCTCTATATCGATAATAATAACTATTTCGATAAGATTTTTCAAAAAATATTTATTGTACAGATTCGACTTAGAATTTTATTATATGTATAGATTTTGCCAAAGTGTCGGTAATAGTAGTTTTAGACATGAAAATGTTATGGCAGTGAAAGTAAGGCAGTTGTCGATCGTATCAAATTTGCATTATAGATGCGTGATCACTATTGACCGAATAACGAGATAAACGTAACTCACTTTCCTATATGAATGAAATAACAAAACTTTGAAAGTTATAGATACTATTAAAAATTATTAATAAAAATATATCTCTAATATTGAGTGTTAGTAATATAAAAGTGTTATTTATGCAATAGTTTTTTTTTTCTACTTTTGTTATTATCGGTTTCATCGTTCTAAGAATTAATAAATTTAAACCCAAAGTGCTACGAACCAGACGCGGCGAAGTTGTGAAAAATTAGTATATACTATACATAGTTTAGAAAGATTGAAATATATACGTATATAAATGTATATATAAAAACATACATAACTCTATGATAAGTGATACAGAAATATATCTCCAGTCAAAATAAAAGAATTTTCCTGTATCGATACTTCCATATCCATACTAATATTATAAATGTGAAAGTGTGTTTGTTTGTCCTTCTATCACGTCGAAACAGAGTGAAGGATTGGGATGATTTTTGTGTGAAGATAGTTGGAGGGCTGGATAGTGACATAGGCTACTTTTTTATATCTCATTCCCATGGGAAAACACTTTATAATACAACCCACAACAACTCATCCTACTTACTAGTATGTGTATATATAATATATAGTCTGTCTTTTCCATACTAACCGTTAAAACGTACCTAGGGATGAACACGAGCAAAGCGAGGGTGAGCCGCTAGTTAAATTATAAATAGATTTATAGTCAAACGGTACTTAAATTAGATTCGGCGTAGCAGACCCGCACGCGACTTCACTACGATGCACTAGTACTACCTGAGACCGGATCACAATCGTACGCATCCGCTTATAGAAGAATATAATATTTAAATAATTAAAAACGTATTATATTTAAAATAAAAAAAATACAACACATTTTTTTGCAACGAAATAGTGTTTTTAAAGAAAGAAATTGTGCTTAAATTGTGTTTATATGAAATATAGTGACAAAATGATTACGTGATAGTTATTAAACAAGCAAAATACGACAAAATGGTTGAATTTTCTATTGAAAGTGTGGGTATTTTCTTCTTTTTTGCTTTCATTGTACTTATAATCAGATACAATAATATTTATGATAGAGTAAGCAAATAGTTTGCAACTTATTTACATATTTTTACTAAAAATTATAATAAAAGTATTTAAACTTTATAATAGCTTCTTAAAATTTTTGGGTTTTTTATATAAGCTTTTTGAATTCATTTAAAAAAAAGCTTATAAAGCTTTTTCCAGTTTGCTAGCACTTCTTTAAAGACTTTCGATATTTAGTTACTCAATTATTTAGAAAATTGTTTCATATTTATTACCACTATAATCATTTTCTCAAAAGAAATTATGTTTTATAGTGATATACGTCAAACTCTATATTAAAATTACATGCATGTAGAGACACCATAAAATTTTCATTGCTATCTCAAGCTAGTAATTAAAACTAACTGTGATTTTGTAAAGAAAATTATATAGCCGTGTAATAACCGGTACACGTAAGAAAATTCTTGGTGTCTATCTAGTTTAAATGTTCGTTGATATCGAATTTTCTTACATCACAAACATGTTTTATAACTCTATACTCTACTTTTTATTATATTGTGAAAAAGAGCCAGTTTTATAAATACTCTTATTTTCTTACACATCATTTAAAAGAAGTCAGGGACTTAAGTATGTATAAAGTACAGTTCACCGTCTTCATACCTTCACAAAAATACATTGTTCTTAAATTCCCATTGCGCGTAACACATTATTCTCTTTCACTTGTCGTGGGTTCGATTCCCATGTAATAAACAACTGTATTTTAAAAATGCTTAGTCATAATAGGTTCGTCACATTTTTTTTGTTTATTAAAGTATTTGTGATATATCAATAAAAGCCAACGATTTTATTTAAAGAAAGACATTAATTGTAAGAATTGAAAATTTGCAATAACCATTGTAATGAGAATTTGTTTAATTACTGGCTCTTAGTTAATTTCTTGTTAAAAAAAGATAGCAGAGAGCCCTCTCATTTTATTTTTATATGATTTTTTCTAGTCATTACAATAATTTCGAAGATTATCTCTTTATACAAACAAACAAATTTGACCTTTTCATTTAAAAAAAACAGATGTTATCGCAAACATCCATAATAACAAAAAGGAATGTATCAAATATTCCATTACTAATTATTTTCTAATATATATTAGGAAACTATTTCTATTTCTACTTTTGGTAAAATGTTATACTTAGGCTATGTTCTTACTTCAGAATCAACAAGCTGGGACGTCCGGAGACTTTAGACAGTACGAACAGAACTACGGATACACGATGCACCAAAACCAAAATCTTGTTCAAGGAGCAGTTGCAAGAACCATTCAAAACTACGACTCTCCCAAACCACCAGTACCAGCCAAAAATACTTATAAACCAGAACAAAACAATTCACATATCACAGTCACAGTGGAAACTGGCAAAGACAACACTCGAGATGCGCCAAAAAGCAGTAAATCTGTTAGCAAAACGTATCATACCTTAAAAGATATGATTTCAAGTAGGTTTAAAAATAAAGATGGTAATGAAGAAAAAGCAGAAGAACCAAGACTTAATAATATAGAAGAGAGAAAAAGACCGGAACCAGAGCAAGTAACGCCGAGAGAGCAAGTCACTCCGCCAAGAAAGGTAGAGCAAGGGATATATGGAAGGCCGATGCCACAGACTCGACCTGACATGCAATACGGACATGTCATGGCGAACAATATGGCTTATCCTAGTCCTTCACCACATAGGTAAGATCTAATAGAATATCTTCTTCCTGTCATTTACGGCTGCCTTCTAGTTACTTTCTACAAATATTAGATATTTATTAAAACCTAGCTATCCCGATGGCCCATGCCAATAAATTTATTTGTAAACTTTGAGTCCATACTAAATTGTATACAAGAATCTTTCAGTTTTTATACAATTTTTTGGGCACCTTTAATATTTTTCCACTAAAAAATTACGCATATTAAAACAGTAGCTAAATAGATCCAGCCGTCCTCAAGTGATGATTACCATTGAACAGAATTTAATTTTTATTATATAGGCAGAAAATATAATACATATATTGATTTTTAAAGCTAGTGATCTTTCATAGCTTAACGGAATAAGCTTTCAAACTTAATGGGCTAAATCTTAAAACAAGTAATTTATGTCTTGTTATACTTTAACACTAATCATAACGCTAAATAATTGCTATTTAACGTTGAATAACATTTTACTTCCTTGAGAAACATGTCCGTTGAAAGTAATTACCAATTCTCACAAGCTGTCAGCAAATTGTGATCTCTTTATATAAACTTGTTTTTGGATGCTACAAATAATGTAATAATTTTATTTATGAAAACTGGCTGTCTGTCTGTCCTTTATTTCTTAAGAATTATGTTAGAATAAAATAATTCTACACTAAGTTCTAATATTTATATATAACAATTATAATACGATATTTAAATGAACGTCTTAATATAACACTAAAAGTAAAGCACAATAATAAAACACCAGAAATATGATTAATTATTACTATACGTAGTAACTTAAAATCGACTTCAAAGATTTGATATGATGAATAGCAATTTTAAAATTGTATTAACGTGACCTTGACTATTATATGACAACTCAAAATATGACATACTTATCTATTATCTGATTTTTTATCTTTCTATTGCTGGAGGTTACTCCTGTAGATCGATGATTCATTTATAGTTTTAAATCCACATTAAAGCTGCTAAATTTCAAAATCATCGCTCAATCTCATTCGTGTCTTCCTCACAAAACGTGACACTGGCAGAATGCATTGCGTCTGTTAACGCAACACTAAACCATTAAAGAAAAAAAAATATTATTTTGTAAATTTTTAATTTTATCACAGATAAAGCGAATAAAAGCGTATCAATAATAAGTTTTTCTCTTTCTAAAGACAGCTTATCCAGCAACAACAGCAGTTAGTGCAACAGCAATTGCTCTTGAACCAGCAAGCCCGGTCTCAAGAGATGCTCGCGAGCCGGCCGCAGGCGCTCGGCGCGGACGCGCTCTACCAGCAGTACGGGCCGCCGGGGCGGCGCAGTGCCGTATACCAACGAGATGTGGATGTGAGGTCCATGGCCAACTTTACATCTTTGAAATCTGGACCACAGCCTCAGGTAACGTATTATTTATATATTAATAATACCACTTATCTATATATGTATATAATAAAATTACAACTGAGTCGAAATGTACATTAAATATTTTTTGGAAAATTTTATTGAAATAGTCATTATTATCAATATAACTGCCTCGGTGGTGTAGTGGCTAGCATGTACGGCTGCACACCCAGGGGTCCTGGGTTCGAGCCCCGGGTACGGGCCAAGTTTAGTTATTGAGTCTTCCTGTATAATAAGTCTCAGTAACAGCCCGGAGTTGGGAAGTTGGCGGTGTTTCACCCCCGTGCCTCGGAGAGCACGTAAAGCCGTCGCCACTCTCACCAATCGTGTCGAATGGTCGTCCCACCGGAGTATGAGAGTGATAGGAATAGAGAGTGCACTTGTGTCTGCGCGTACACTTGAGCACTATAATATCTCCTGCGCAGTTGGCTAATCTCATTGAAATTGGCCGCCGTGGCCGGAATCAGCTAGGAGAACATCATCATTATCATCATCATTATCGATATAGAGGCCGAATCTATAGTTTTTAGAATTTTTATATGTCTGTTTGATTTGGAATGCATCACAAGAAAACCACTGGGCAGATTTTGATGAAATTTGGTATAATGATAGCTGGTTATCCGGGTCAACATATAAGATACTTTTTACTGCGGAAAAATATCTCATTTCTGAGAAATCTATACTAAATTTTAAAACTTAACTAGGTACGAACTCGAGCGGAGCGAGAATGAGTCGCTAGTATATATAAATATACATACGAATTAAAATAGTTTGTCAAGGAGAGACAGAGCAGCGGATAAAAGTAGTATTATAAATTAATCGTATATATTTTCATTTTTGATTTTTATTTGATTCAGTATCTTAATTTTGAATAAATAACGTGATAGATTAAAAGCTCTTTGCGTCTATGAAGAAATAGCTAAGTAGTGCCTAATCGTAATAAATGTATGATAATTGTGTAATATATGTGCATGATGAAACACATACTCGAATGACATACTCTTATATACATCCACTAATACTATAATAATTACATAATTCAAAGCTTTTCATTATATATACATTATCCAATAATAATCATTTTTTTCAAAATTACAAAAAAAATCAGAAAACAGTAAAGATGGTCATATAAGTCAATTATTAATTATGACCTATATTTTGATTCTAAAAGTTACATCTTGTTCAGTAAATAATTTTATTTTTAACTTAAATTTGTAGTTCTCACTTTAAGTAATCGCTTAAAGGTCCTTGACATTTTTAATCAAATCATCATGATTACAAAACTTACAAGCCAAATCTCATAGAGCAGTACCAAAAAAATTACAGCAATAATTCTCGCCTTTCTTACCAACTATTTCTCACTACAACAAAGCACAATGAATTCCCAACAATTACATCTTCCCACGGAATACAATTAAAATAACAAGCTCTACAACGCGATATCGTGGAACAAAGTTTTACCACGTATTGTCCGTATGAATTTATTGGATTGTTCTAACTGATATAACGTATCGGAAACTGTCATTTTGGTATGAACAATTCGTAAGTGCAATATTGTGTAATATTTCTTAAGCTTTTGTTATTAAAAAGCTTTATTATTTGAGAAAAGTCAGTTTGGAGACTTGCTGGTGTTTGGATAGAGGTATTAACTTCTCACAGAATATTGACGTAATGTAACTGTACGCATGTCGTCCTTCGAATGAGCCCCTTCAACTTAATACACGTGTCAAGCCTTTATTTAACATTAAGCAGACTGTATATTTGTTTCATTGTAAAATCTGTATAAAAAATTCATTAAGTTTCGCATTCTTTATAGCAAACATGGTCATGGGAGATACTAAAAGTATGATGTCTCCAAAACTGTTATAAAAGGGGCAGTCTACCTACAAAAATTATACAATAATCTTGATAGATAACTTTTAACTTCTTTTAACTAACAACAAAAAAAAACATAAAAAGATTTCTTGGTTTAGTTAGAATCAGAAACACTCTTAATCTCAGTCACTTTTATCATTCACAAATATCAATGTACTCGTATTATGGATAATGAACGCATCCACGTCTTATATTCAAAAAAAATCGTAACTGAATTTTATTTTATTATCCATAAAATTTTAAATAGGTTTTATGTGCGTATGTCGTGACCAATAACTGCTGGGCACTACCTTATATGTAGTCAACGGTTTTAGCCAGTTACCATAATCGAGTCTCGGATATCATTAGAACAATTTAAATATGCCTACTCATTTTAAATTATCTATGTTACAGTTTGACAACTCACATTCAAGGCTGGATCTCAGAAGTCCTCAGCAATTAGAAAGGGAAATAGTACGACAAAGAGGCTTAGTAGAGGGTAGAAGGGCTGCTTCACATCCCCATCTCTTAGATGAGCCACAACACAGACAAGAGATCACAACCCCACAAATACACGATCGATCTAGAAGAAATTCCCATGGAAACTTGTTAGATAGTATACCAAATGAAAGCCCAAGAAATGAAGAGAGAGAATCTGATGATGGAGGCTTTAGGATGAGACTTGCAGCTCAAGGCAGGTCCAGTTTCGAAGATAGAACACGAACTAGTGGCAGATCAGTAGAATCCCAACGACAGGAACGACATGAAATGTACAGAAGGACACCTGATAGTCAAAAAGAATCGAGAAGAACTCCAGACTCTGTAGGTCATAGACAAAATGATGCCTCAACATCTAGTGAAGTAATGGAAAGAAATGACGATATTGTCAGTCAAAAATCTGTAGACAGTGTATATAATTCTAGCGCTAAAGCTGAAGCCTTCAACCCGCAGCCATCTTCGTCGAGACAAACACCGAATAGAATTGAGGATTTAAAAGCGAGTGGAAAGAAAGGAGCGAGTGGGTCAGGAGCTAGCTCAGGTAAGACATCATTTTATTAGATAATATCTTCTCCTTACTTTAATTTCATTTTAGGTTACAGTTATCAATAGATGTTTTTACGATAAATAATTAATTTCTTAAATACAACTATTACAAAATTATTATAACTGTGATTGTTCTACTTTTTGGAGTCCATAGTCATGTCTTAAGAAAATATACATCAAAATTGAGTACTTCCTACTTTCTTCAAATGCATTATAATAACAGTGACACAAAGCAGAAGAATATACTGCTATTGTAAATACAAAAAGTTCTACACAAAAACGGTTTAGTTGTAAGTTTGTTACTCCTTTATATCGAAACAGTTGAATGGATAAAATTTAATACACAGACTATAACTTGGAGTGACACATACTAAATAACTATTAGTAACAAAATTAGCCAAAAGATAGTGCTGCGTGTGTACACACACATAAACACACATACTTCCGCATTTATAGTAAAAGTCAGATGTCATGCTAGCAAAATTTCTATATAAGTAACTGTTAATAACAAAATTTTGTCAAAAGATGGCGCTGCCTGTATACATATACACATACACACACACATACACCCACACACACACACACACACACACACACACACACACACACACACACACACACACACACACACACACACACACACACACACACACACACACAATTCTTTTAGTTAGATTCTTTCCACACTTACAAAGGTGTCTACCTACTACACCGTCTCATACCATGACCGTGCTAGGACCGTGTCAGGCAAAAAAATATTCTTTGCATTGAAAAGTATGAGACTGCCCACTAGACCGTTCCATCACCGGGCCGCACCGGATCGGCACCGTCGCGTGCCGTGCACGGAGCGGTAAAAATTGTCCGCGAGAATATTTTGCCGGTGCTGGTACACTCCGTGCCTGGCACGCGACGTCGAGGAACCGGTGCACGCGGGCGGCGCAATGGGGAACATACGCAGCACTAAAACCGTTATTACGGGTATGATACGCTGTTGATAGGGTCTAGTGGGCAAAGTAATCTGTGCCATGCTCGTTTCCGTGCCTGATACGTTCATGGTATGAGAAGGTGTAGTGGGCAGACTCCTTAAAACTAAATCCCAATACATCGAACAGACTACGACAAAAACGGCGGTCAGTCGTCCAACGTGGACTCCGGGCGCGGCAGCGCGGCGTACTCCAGCGGGCGGCGGCGCGCCGGCGCCTGCGACGACGCGCCGCGTGCCGCCGCCGGCCGCCAGGACGAGCCGCCCGGTAACTTATACTTTAACTTTCCATGCTCACTGACTATATTATTGTCATGTGAAAAGGGATATATACCATGTTTATCATTTACTAGCGACTCATCGTCGCTTCCTTCGGATTCGTCCCTAGCTTGCTTTCCAATACAAACTTTCATCCCCATTTTCATCCTTTTAAGATCCCTTAATGATGATCCCTGGGTGATTTCCGGGATAAAAACTACCCTATGTCCTTTCCATAAATTCCAGGGTCTCAAACTATATTCCGAAATATCGGAAACTCTCAAGGTTAAGTGATAAACATGGTAAATATCCCGTTTTACAACATAATAATAAATAATTACATTATTTTATCATCAAAATTTTTGGGTGTGTGTGCATGTGTGTGTCACGCTGAAACGGCTGGACGGATTTCGATGAAATTTAATACACAAATAAACTATGACGTTCAGGTCAAAACAATTCGAAATAATTGTCATATTACATCATAATATCAGGATGGGAAAGGAAAAGGAAATAAAGTAACTTGTGAGAAACTATTCTTTGGATTTTCACTCTATCAATGACCCCAATGAAGACGCTAAGCTAAACTAACAGTATCCCAAAATTTGGCTACTATTATAAATGCTCGCTTGCGCACTCAACAGTCAGAGTGACTAACAAGTTATACAAACTTTTAAACATTAAATAATTTAAAGAATTTAACAACATTAATTCCAGCTGTAGAAAACGAATGGGCGGACCTGGTGGAGTGTGAACTGCGGCAGATCCTGGAGCCCAAGCTGTCCAGCATGCGCCTGGACAGCTCCGGCAGCTCCGACGGCTCCATGACGCCGCCGCTACCGCCGCAGTCGCCTTCTTCAGACTTACATAAGAGGAATAGGTTCGTTTATTATAATTCATAGAAATATACTATTTTACAATATTTTAATACATACTTCTTTTACCCCGAACTTATTAGTTTTTACTTTACTCAGAAATAATCTCTTAGTTCAGTAAAGTTGCGTCTAATTGGGTTTTAATTTTAGCTCGTTTTATGTTGTCTTTTCCTTCTCCTTTTACCATTTCTGGGAAACCAAACTCTTACGATTTTACTCCACTTTTCTTGGATGTTATATAATATTATTTACTGCTTACGACTCCGTCCACGTGGTGAATGATGTATCTTTAAAAAGCGATGTATGTGTCAATCTATTTGTGTTTATTCGAAATTTTACTAAAATTAATTGACTCAATAGTGTGATGATGTAGATAAATATTATTTACCTATTAATATACATAATCTAATTTTCATAATAATATGAAGAATACAAAATTTATGCGTGTGTGCGTATTACTACTTGATGCTGTAACAGCTCAACGGATTTGAGAAATATTCTAGGATCTAGATAAAGGTATATCCTGAATTGACTAACGCGTTTATTTTTTAATAAATATTTTTACTACAGATGGACGAAATCTCAAACTGTTAAATAAAATAAAAAAGATTGTTATAGGTGCAAAATGTTTTTAAAACATATCTTAAGATATGTAACTTTAACTTTAAAAGTTTAATAATAATCAATTATTTTGCAATAAAACAATCTCAAAATATGTCAATTTAACAATAAAGATTGTATAATATAATTTAATTTTATAATAGTAATTTATTATTGTAACATAGATATAATGTTAACATTTTATAAAATCTCCATATTTTCATGTGATATTCACCGTAGAAGGTAGTGCAATTAGCTATAATAACTATTGTACTCCTATATAATAATAATTTGTAATGTTGTAATTGTCACTGGTGAATGTTATAATAAATAAATAACAATAAATATAATACGCAGCCTCCCGGGGCGGTCGTCGGAGTACCCGGAGGAGCGGCGCCGCGCGCGCGACTCGCCGCGCTGGCACTCGCAGAAGAAACACTCCTCGAAACGCGATCACCATTATAAAAAGCATTGTGAGTTGTACCGTTGATTTATATTTCATTGTTTTAAATAAACAATTTGAAAAAAAATAATATTTGTATACGGCGTGTGTGCGTGTGTTTGACTGTATGAGATTTAAGTAAATAGATAAATAAATCTGTAGTAATACATAGGTTACTTTAATGCGTCCAGGGATGCATCTAACCAAAGTAGTAAGTTGCTAATTTATACTAATATCATAAATCTATAGGTACATATAATAAAATTCTAACTAAGTCGAACCTGTACATTAAATATTTTTTGGAAAATCTTATTGAAATAGACATTATTACCGATACAGAGGCCAAATCTACATATACTTTTTAAAATCTTTGTCTGTCTGTCTGTTTGTCTGTTACCGCATCATGGAAAAACCACTGGAGGGATTTTCATGAAATTTGGTATGATGGTAGCTGGTTATCCGGGTATAGGATACTTTTGACCGCGGGGAAATAACTCAATTCTGAGAAAAAATACAAGAACTGCAATGTAAAAGTATACTAATATGTAAAACCTAAGAATTTGATTTTTGGGCATCTGAACGCGGGCGGAGCCGCGGGTACTGCTAGTAGGTAAATAAAGTTTGTCAGTTTGTAGGGAGTAATCTCTGGATCTGCTGAACCGATTTAGATGAAATTTGGTAAGAAGATAGTTTGAAACCCTGGGAAGGACTTAGGATACTTTTTGTCCCAGAAATCATCTTTCAAGAGGGTGAAAATCGGGATGAAAGTTTGTATGAGGAATCAAGCTAGGGACGAACCCGAGCGAAGCGAGGGTGAGTTGTTAGTAGTTTATAAGTGGGGTTCTCTATTTTTACGAATTCGTCGAGAAGCTTACTCAAATTAAATTAGCCGCGTATTATCAATTTGATCTATTTAATATATATTATGTGTATGTATGTTGTCCAATATTCGACCTTAACAGCACCGACTTTACGTTGAGTACAGTATGTATGTACATATATATGTATATATATATATATGTATGTATGTTTGAACGGCCTTCACCAATATGAACATATAACCAATGCAAACCAACGTGCAGTGTTCGGGCTGGACACGACGGACATGGCGTCGAGCACGACGCGCAGCCTGGACCTGTCGTCGCTGCTGGAGGCGCGCAGCGACAGCGACGCGTCGGGCGACGCGCGCGCCATCCGCCGCCAGCTGCGCGGCCTCGAGACCATGTACGCCGAGGTGCTGCAGCTGCTGGGCGTGCGCCGCCCGCCGCCCGCCGCGCGCGCGCCCGCCTTCGACCCCAGGTAACCACGGTCTCACACACGCGGGTTGCTAGCAGAACATATAGAATGAATTTCTATGAATTTATTTATTTTTATTGAAGAGCAATTATACCAAGTTTTAAGTAATTCTGATGATATATAGTTTTTGGATTGTATTATAACGTGTACTCCGTGGGAACTACATACTCTCCGGCCCTCCAAATATCTCCACATAAAAAATCACAACAATCCTTCACTCCGTTTCGATGTGAAAGAAGGGCAAACAAACTCACACCCTTCACATTTATAATATTAGTATGGAAATACATTGTAGCCCTGATAAATCTAATGCGCTTAGATATACGTATAACAATTATATCGAACTTATGTGAATTGGAGATCATGTATGCGGAGGTGCCGCAGCTACTCTGTGGGGTGTAGAATCCTGGAGCGAGGGGTGTGCTGGAATCCTAAGTATATTATGTAGTTTATTAAATACTAACATTATTGTAATAACAGGCCTAATAAATCTATATAAATATGGTACCAATCGTCTTTCTTAAATTTTCTAAGAAGAGACCTTATTCGCCATGGGAAGTATGTAAGCGTAGTATCTACATACTTATAGTACCCTCTAACTGCTTCACTTTGAGATCACGTATGGTATAGTGCATGGCTAGGTGACGGAAATCAGGACTCTCAATACAGGAAACAAATATTAAAAACTCACTAATACTTTCTTAGGTTTACGCGAATATTTAACATTTTAATGTATAATTACTATAAAGCATTTGAAACGTCGGGAACCGAAAATTGAAATAAATTTGCGAAAAAAACCGAATAGATTTTAAGAGTTTTAACTATAAAGCTCGCTAATTTAAAATAAAATAAGAATTTAACCAAACCTGTAAAAATATTATTTATATAAATTATAATTTAGCGAGAATTAATGCAAAAGTTAAATAATAAATATAAACAGTATTAAATGAAGAATGATTCTATTTGTTATCCCGCTCGCAGACTGTCGTCGAAGCGCCGCTATGGCAGCATGTCGTCGCTGCCGTCCAGCTCCGTGAGCAGCCGCCCCGCGCGCGACAAGCGCCGCGCGCACGACGCGCGCAAGAAACACGACATGAAGGTGCGCTGCAATAGAACAATGCGGTCTCGGTGGTGGTTAGCATGTACGGCTGTACATCCGGAGGTCCTGGGGTCGAGTCTCGGGCTAAGTGTTATTGAGTCTTTTAGTTAAACAACTGTAACAGCCCGGAGTTGGGAAGTTGGCGGTGTTTCTCACCCGTACTGAGACAGAGCACATGTTGCGTCGGTCCTGCTTTCATCGGTCGTGTCGTAGTCGTCCCACCGGTGTGTGAGAGTGACAGGAATAGATAATGCACGTTGTCTGCGCTCTCCACAATCAACTTAAATCTTTACTTAAAATTAAAATATCATATAAAAAATTATGGATTTAAAAACTTTGACTCGCCTTATATTACTGACAGAGTATAAATAACTGTTTCTAGTGGCTAAACTATAAGTAAATAGTGATTTCAAAATAATTTTTGGCTTTATTACCAATAACAGGATAAACAAGCACTTCCAAGGGCGTTTTATCTACAATATAAAAATATTCTATTAGTAGTGACTCGCTCTCGCTGCGTCAGTTATATTTGTAGGTACGTTTTAATGTTTAGTATGGAATAAATAGGTTATATATATTATGTCCTATGTCCATATTATATCCTATGTCCTTCCCAGGATCTCGAACTATTTCCATATAAAAAAATATCTATACAGGTAAATAAAATTGAAGTGTTTGTTTGTAATGTCCAAATAACAGCTTTTTACTTAATGCATATGGAATTATATACAATGTTTATAAGAAAAACACAATTTAAAAATTTAGTTTGTCTGTCTGTCGGTTTGTTTCGGTTAATCTCCGAAACGGCTGGGTCGATTTTGACGGGACTTTCACTGGCAGGTAGTTGATGTTATAAAGAGTAACTTAGGGTACTTTTATTTCAGTAAAAGAATGAGGGTTCCGCTCAAAAAAATTAAAATAGTATACTTAGTGACGTGAGTCGCTAGTATAATACATATAAAATATTTTTTATAAGTAACCATTGATATAAAAAATACCACGTGTGCAGGGCATCAACAAGCGGTTCCAGCGGCTGGAGTCGCACGTGGTGACGCTGGCGCGCTCCGTGGCGCACCTCTCCAGCGAGATGCGCTCGCACCACCTCGTGGCGCAGGAGGTGGACGCCGTGCGCGCCGACCTCGCCGCGCTGCGGCACATGTACAGGTGCGGCGCCTACACTCGTGCTATTTGCTCGTAGATCCATGCTATTTTTTACAGATGCTATTTTGCAACTTCCTAATTAATTGTATATATGTATAGTATTCAGCCCTTTTTTAACATCCTGCTGCTACAGGCTTCCCTTAAATACGAGGGGGATCAAGCCATAGTCTACCACGCTGGCCAAGTGCAAATATCTTTCGAAAGCTAGCTGGGTTCTCTCAGACATGCAGTTGTTTTCTTTCACCATAAGACAACTGATAGTCATGTTAGAAATGGTTCGCACATGAGAATATAAGAAGTGCGAAACTCGGGATTTGAACCCGCTTCACTCGGTTTCCCAAGCGAGCGCGTTATCACTGGGCCATCACTGCCTTGATTGATTAATTGGCATCAATAATTCCAAAACAACTATTTTTAAAAACACTTTATTTTAAAACTGATAACCTGATTATTTATCAATTGACAGTAAAATTAGATATTTAATTGCTTTAAAATCAATACATATGTAATTAGTCAACTGAGTTAGTAAATAAATGACGTCATAGGTTGCTGTTCCTATAAAAAATATATGGGAAAATTTTGACAGCTCAAGTACCTATATCAATTATGATTGTAATCATAATATAACATAATATATACGCGGTAATTCTCGTTATGTTGTTTTATATAAATATGTTTTTTAAAAGAGTTAAGTACGTGGCCGGCTCAGCATAACTGTCTTCCGAGCAACGAGCTGGTAGTAGTCTTGAAGTTAAATTTAAATTAGAAAAAATATATAAAAATGTACCATTCAAAAATAAATCTATAATATGAATACAGTATATTTTGATTTCATGTAAATAAAAACTTTATTCGAATTTTGTCACGGTTTTTTAGGCATGCTTAGCCAAAAGATTAAAAAAAACGTGTGCGTCTCGGAACGCCCGACAGAAGTGATAACTTAAACTAATCTAAGTTTAATTATTTAATATTGAAATTGTTTAATACTAAAATTTTATGTATATTAATATGATAATGTAAGGAAAGGTTATTTATTAATAAAATGTTTTATTGATTATAAAATATTATTCTATAATATAACATATATACGGCTAGCGCTGTGGGTGAGAGTGAGATAGGAGGAGCCTGCCTACCGCTGCCGTATGTGTGAGAGAAAGGGAAGCCAGACAGGCTGGCGCCGTAACGCGTTACGTAACGAAGCGGTTCACCCTCCCATAAGAATTTAGCACTCCAATAATCTATATTTCTTGGTATCTTCAACAGATCCCAGCAGTACATAAGGTCCGGCCACCACCGACACCTGGACCCGTACTCCTTCAGCAACCCGGACCGCGTGAAGCGCCTCACCAAGTTCTTCGGCGACGAGCCGCCGCTCATGAGGCTGTTCTTAAAGAAACTGGGATATGAGGTAATTATAATAGTAACTCTTTATTGTACACTCAAAACAGAGTAATATATACAAAAAAAATTACATACATATATATTTAGTCATAAATAATGAATGGCCGTATCATCATTGTTAGTGTTCTTTCTATTATTATTTTTTTCTCATTTTTTGTTTTGCTCCTTATATAAATGCATGGTTTTTTTTGTTTTGCCTTTTCTTAAATAAATGTAAACTTAGTCTACCTTTCTATATCGCCTAAATAATGTAAATCCGTAATTGGCTTATGTAAGGTTTTAGTTTTGTACTTACAATTTTTTTTTGTATGTAGCTGTGGATTTTGTTTGAATAAATAAATAAATAAATAAATTATATTACATACATACATACATTTTATAACTTTACATCTATACATAAAATAAAATAGTAACAAAGCGAAATCTGTACGTAATTAAAAAAATAATGATTGCTACGTATTGTATATAGAATATATGGGCTTAGAATATATACTTTGTGTTAAAAGTAACAATTTAGTGCATATATATTTTTTATGTGTTTGTCTGTTTTTACGCATTTCCGTTTCATCGAGTTTCAAATAAATCACAACGATTCTAAAGAAGTTTCACTTTAAAAACAGAAAATATAATCGCTTTTGTTAATAAAAAAAAACTCCTTACAGAAATACGCAGGTCTCCTGGAGAAGGAGAAGGTGGGAGCGGCGGAGCTGCCGTACGTGGGCGAGGACCGCCTGCGCGCGCTCGGCGTGCCGCTCGGCCCGCGCATGCGCATCCTCAAGGAGGCCGGCCTGCACCACGACCACCGCGACCTGCGCGACCACCGCGACCACCGCGACCTCCGCGACCGCGACGACCACACCGCCACCACGCTCGCTATCGTATGAGTACCGTCGAGCTCTCGTGTAGCTTAGATTAAATCACTGCGACCACCGCGACTAGAGAGACATTGTGTAATGTACCATCTAGTTCGCATGTAACTAAATATGACCACTGTGACCACCAAGACTGAGACGACCATACCACCACCATGCTGGTCATCGTCAGATCTGTAATCTAGCTGTTCCGCGATCAGAGAGACAACCATACCATCACCACGTTGACCATCATTTATCTTACCATATAGCGGTCGTCTAACTTGAATATGTCAAACTACAACGACCAGAGAAAATCACGCTACCACCACGCTGACCATCGTGTGAGATACCAGCTAGCGGGTAACTTGATAGGTCTGACGAGCGTGACCACCGCAACCATCACATCTAACCATCGTGTAATGTACCATCAAAACCAATGTCCTCTAACTTAGATACGTTGTTTTGATAAATAACGGTTATTTTAGATAACTGTCATGTGGAATGTAGATTTTATAGTTCGATTGGAGTCAATGTTTTGATGGCGGGAATTGTTCTAAAATAATTGCTTTATTTAAATCTCAGACTAAGAATTAAAGATACAGAGTGTCACAGGACTAAACATGAAGCCAAACGATAATGTTTTTAAACAAGATACAAATATTAATAGAATACTCATTTCTAAGATAAATTAATAAATGTTAATAGAAAAATAGCGGACGAATTTTATCATATAAAGAAATAAAATTAATTAGCTGATATTATGCTATCTCTCATTCAACAGGAAGAGAACTGATGCTTAAACAATACAAAAATATATTGTATTATTCTTATTGTTTATATTTCATTATCAAATATTAAACATAACGACTAATACCTATATAAAATTTTCCTTATACTTATAGAAAGTAAACGATGTGTATGACAAAATAATAAATAGTAACATAAATAGCAAATCAATCATTTTTGGCGGACTCCGTCTATCGTTAGTCTGAGATTGAAATAAAAATATTTACCACGTGACATTGGCGAAGTAATCTGTGCTCAATTAGCACGCTTTGAAGCAGTTAACAAGAGCATTGAATTGAATAAACATATTTTTAAAAGTCAGGTACAGCCCTCTTAGAGAGTGAGAAAGGATTCTTTCAAGTCTAAGGCAAAAAAAGATAGAAAAGTGTTTGGAAGTTTTTATTAAAATCCTTTATAATTAAACTACGTGGGCAGAGCCGCAAGCAAACGCTGTTTGTATATTTGTAAAACCATATATTCTTAGAACAAAATGCACATAACATATTATATTTGTAATTTTTGTAATAATCAAAATAAAAAATTCTAATTATGTGTCATCATATCTATATATTAGTGCATGTATATCGAATGAAAGTTCTAAAATAAGGAAATGACTATAACCACATAAACTCAAACTCGAGTTTATTTAAAAATAATCTATATTTTTGAAATTATGCTTCTTTTGGCACGTTTTGAAATAAATTTTCCAGTAAAATTTTCACGATGCGCGCGCGCACACCGACAGCCAAAAAGCGACATGATGAATTTGTGGTTGTTGTTGCTGCATTCCTTTTGAAAAAAGGTAGTTGTGACATACGGGATGTATTGCTGCTCATATATCAAAATAAAACAGAAGTATTAACAATAATGATGGCATGATATTTAGATTGCACATACCAAGCTCTGCGATTTTTAAACCAGCCATTGTATGGAACTGAATATACTTATAATATTATTTTTGTGTAATTTAAATCTATCTGCATTCAAATAGGCTTTAGGACACTTTCATAAAAATGAAAGTGTCTCAATATATAAGTATATGAGAATTTATTTGCTTTACAGATGACACAAAATATCTGTTATATAAAAACGGCATTTGTGTTCAACTGGCACGCTTTGAAGCCATTCACAAGAGAATTGAATTGAACTGAATAAAAATGACATATTATGTACCGGTGGAACTTACATAATAAACTGTAATTTTGTTTCACATAAAATTTATAAAATTTTGTAAAATATTGTCAGTATTCGCGACCATCAGAGGTCAAGTGATTATGATATGGTCACTCACATTGAATAGACTAAAATATTTATATTTAGATAACAACACACTATATGTTATTCTCTCATTTTTATTAATTATTTATTATTATTATTTTATTTAAAGTATGATTTCTGTTATTTAGTACAATTTCAAAATAACACAGTCACAAAACAAAAATACTCCAAACAGTCACAATTACTTTACTTTCCTTTTTTATATATAGATGGAATATCTTTAAAAAATACATTATTTTAGAAAAATGCTTAGTTTTTATTTAATTGTGTAAATATTTATACAACATATTATTGGTTAAGTGTACAAAATCACTTATGAAATAGTAATAACGATAAGTAAATGTATTAAGTATGTCTGTACGTGCTTTTTTCACTAAAATAGTAATTGTATATTTTTATAAATTAGCTATCACCCGCGACTCCCCTTGCATAAGGCGAAGATAAAAGAAGACTGTTCCTGTCATTTAATCCGTTACTGTTATAAAAATCCCGTTAATATTTAACAAGACGTTTTTCATTTAACTTTTATGTATCCCAATATTTTCTCAGGATAAAAAGCAAACTGTATCCATCTATAATGAAACAAATAAAATATCTGATAGTGTAAGTCACATTAAAATTATATTCTAGATATTAGCGGGAATAAACAGACAGAATGAATCGAAGTTAGTAATTTTATGGACTTTGGTAACGCACAAACAACCTTATTAGCTTGATCTGCATATTTTAATTCCTGTAAACACGTTACAAATCAATTTTATTTCTATGTATATTTTTGCTTATTTTTAATTTAGTCCATATTGGCAATTCAACTATTTTTATCGTCTGTTGATTCAAGAAATTCAAATTTTTCTAATAAGTTTGTTAAAAAGACATCTATTTTTAAAAATAACTAAGAAGGTTATCTATAATGAACATACAATGTTAAAAATTGTATGTGAAGTAGAATATATATTTCTTTTTCTATTATATATAGTTTTAATAAGTTAATTGTTTTCAAATGTATGCCAAAGAAATAATCGGCATGTGTTTAAGTAATGTAAATATTATTGTAAATATCTTGTACTTGAAAGTAAAACAACGAAAATACAACGGAAAATGTAATTTTAGATTTTTTATTCCCCTTTGGGAATGTTTTTGTAAATAAATTTTTATATGAAAACGGTTTATTATTGAGTGACCTTTTATCTTCTCAGAGTTGACACAACGGTTCTCTGATTGCTGCTAACAACCTTTGTCTCGTTATCCGCCTAAATATTTTGCTAATTTAAAAAGATTACATTTAATATAACACGCAGAGTAAAAATATCACACTGCCATATACAAAAGTTTGTATATGTGTGTCTGTTTGTTACACTTTCACGCTGAAACGGCTGGACAGATTTTGATGAAATTTAGTATTAGTAGTAAACTTTGAAACACATTTATTACATAAACTAGCATTGCCCGCGGCTCCGCCTGCGATCAAATGACCAAAAACTAAATTCTTAGGTTTTACAAATTAGTATACTCGTACAATGCAGTTTTAGTATTTTTTCTCAGAAATGAGATATTTTCTCGCGGTAAAACGTATCCTATATATTGACCCGGATAACCAGCTATCACCATACCAAATTTCATCAAAATCCCTCCAGTGTTTTTCCGTGATGCGGTAACAGACAGACAGACAGACAGACAAAAATTCTAAAAACTATAGATTCAGCCTCTGTATTGATAATAATGTTTATTTCAATAAGATTTTCCAAAAAACATTTAATGTACAGATTCGACTCAGAATTTTATTATAATTGTATAGGTTGATTGATTATCTTTAATCTAAGCAAGTACGTAAATAAAACGTATTTGCACTACATCAAAACAACATTATAGTTCCAGTAAATAACTATGAGAATACAGATTTTCCTCAAATATATTGTGATGTTTACATTCTCGCAACCCTTAAATAAAGACTAGTTCATACTAGCGCTATCTGCTGGTATTTTTTAAATTTCTAGCAATATAGAGGTGAATCGATGTAATGATGTAGATGGTAGGGAAGGATGAAGGGAAAGATAAAGAAAGTGAGGAGTAATGTTGCTAGTACTCTCACTCATTGTCGTATGTCCAAAATTTAGGAGGAGGGCTTATATCGAGCCCCGTGCATCGCCAGGGTGGCTGTCCACTCATCGAGGCTAATAAGGGTCCCAGATGGGTTCTCCCAGTGACGAGCCCATAGTTGTGGGCGGCGGAAGAACCCACGGCCAGAGGGCTATGCCCTGATGCCGTATCCCCTATCTATCATTCAAAATGTAAATCTACCGGTACACCTACAGTCTACAGTCAAATATATTATTGTTTACGCTAAAGTACGTAACAGTATACTTATTTATATATATACTAGCAGAACCCGTGACTTCGGTCGCTCGGGTTTTATTATAGCTTGTTTTCTCGTGGGAATTAAATAATCTCCCGCGGTAAAAAGTAGCCTATGTTATTTTCCATCCCTCTAACAATCTCCCCACAAAGAACTATGCCAATCCATCACTCCGTTTTGACGTGAAAGAAGGACAGACATGCAAACAAACTAACTAACAAACAAACAAACACACTTTCACATTTAAAATATTAAGTATGGATGTACATATATAATACATGAGCCCGCGGCTTCACTTTAATAGAAATTGATTCATGCCTAAGGGTCAAAACTTATAGCGTGATGTTTGATTGCTAGTAAGATTCTTCAATTAATCTATTTATTTATATAAAAATGATACTTCGTACGTCTGTCCTCTACGCATTCCTAAGCCATTTGTGAAATAATGAAACTTTGGTGAGTAGTACTGCTGCACACACTCGTGAAGGTAACCTGTTCAAAAAAAAAACTTTTAAATATTTTTCCTCTATACACTCCTTAAACCATCCATTCCTAGGGAGAAACGAGGGTAATGATTATTTTAAAAATAGAATTAATCATTTTAGTGCTAAGCAAATAAAAACCCACTCACTTCAGCTTTATAACAACAGTGTACTGTGTATGATGTTAAAGTGGATCATTTAGATGCATTGTAGTGAATGGACAGATCATTGTCAATTTCCGCGCCGATGACCGACTCGCCGCTACAATAAAAGTACTTTAATCTCCTCATATTGATGCAGAAGGATTGGGACAAACTTTTTATTATAGCTTTGTCAGCGTCATCTATTGGTAAGATGTAAGAGAATGTGCTGTTAAAATAATACTAACGTGGAAACATTATTATACAACAAGAAAACAGTACCGGAATACGAAATTATGAGAGGTGTTAGACCAGAAAATGGTTTATGAGCAAAATTTCACTTAAACTCACTCGGTGTAAGCGTGATCGTGTAACAAACGCCTTCACATTTTTACTAATAAAACATTTATATTAATAATAAAAAAAATATGAAATAAAAATTAAATTAAATACAATGCGTATAAAATAAACTTAACATATAGTTAACTCCATTTTATTTCTTGATTCATCTTTATAATTAAGACTTTCAATAATTCGCTGACTTTAATCAAGAGTTTTATTTGGTAGAGTCGATATTTACAACTTGTAACCAAAAAATTAAAGCTCACGAATGATTAGCGAACATAAACGAGCGAGACGAACTGAAATATTTTAAAAAATATATATTTTTCGTATTTGTATATTTTATATAGATAGAATCAACCCTAAATTTGCAGATTAGTAAAAAATATCAATAAAACATCGAAATCTTCTCAAAATCGCTTAAACTTTAACCATAAAAATAAAAATGAACAAACAAACAAACAGACAAATAAAACTGAATAGTATTAATTAATTTTATTTCGTATATTTGAGAGTAATTAAGCTATCTCCGGGTCGCGATGTCAAGTTAGTGGCAGCGCGAAGTACGCAGTACAGAAGTCGGAGTAGGTCTGGTCGCTCGGTCATCATGTTGGCGAAACATTACGTTATTTTTGCAGCCCTTGTTGCAGTTGCTATTGCAGAAGTGGCAGATTTTACAAAATGCAGCGATCGTGAGTACTTTTATTATAATTATTATATAGATATAGTCTATTTGAATTGAAAATGAAAAGATTTGTATAGGACTTGACTTTAAGAATCTTTATTTTTTAATTGAGTAAGGTTTTACTATATTTTCTCTTGCTGATAGCTAGCAGATTAAATAGTTTCGTTTAATATAGATTTTTGTTCCTTTAATCGTAGAGACACTGTCATACTCGTATTTTATGATAGTACGATGCTATTTTAATATAGTAGAACTTAAAATAGGTTTACTATTTCTAAGGCAGATATCAGAATTGGTAAAAACTGTATTATTTAATTTTATAATCTAATTTTTTTTTTTATTATACAGTAACCTTTTAAAGAGCGTGCTCTTGGTTTTGTTAAAAAAAAAAACAAACGTAAGTGATGAGGTGTGGTGAGCGTGATAATGTTCATTGTTCCCCACTTTTAAAAAACTATATTTTTTTCGATTTGTCAAGTTCCTAAAATAAATTAATATATTTTTTTAAAGTAAGATATGTGATCTCACCACAAGAAAGAACTGAGTGAAGCCAAAGCTTGTATATAAGGAGAAAATATTTGAAATGGCCGGATGTAACTCGATAATTACCTATGCCATTATCAATATCATCCGTCTTATATAGTTGTATCACGTGAACGTAACAGGTTAAACATATGAGGTTCATGTGATATGAACTGATGTAAATATAAAATAAACAAACTGATCTATAACTCTACTAAATTATGAATAGCCCTTCGCTTAAATATGTTATTAGCCAAAACTGGGTACTTACAACGTATTAACGCCACCGCTGTAGATTGGCGGCACTTAAAATCCGCCAAATCTGTAGCTGCGATGGTGTATTATTTTAAGAATATTGGCCTTTATTGGAATAATATATATATATATATATATATATATATATATATATATATATATATATATAAATGTATATGTATATATATGTATGTATGTATATATATATATTACGCCATCGCTACTACGGATTTGGCGGATTTTAAGTGCCGCCAATCTACAGCGGTGGCGTTAACACGTAAGTACCCAATACTGCAACGTTATATGAAACAAAAAATAAAAGTTAATAAAGGAAAATTTCATACCAAGTTCTATCTTTTACTGTATATTATTACTCATTAACAAACTTTTTTGGTAATTTACATTCAAATGTATGAAAAATAATTTCCTTACTTCACATACAACCAGCTAACTTTTGCGAGCCATCGTAATATTATGTAGGAGTTTTCAGATAATAGAATCTAACCTTTATCCTGCATTACATGGAATCTCGTTAGAACCGTTGCAGCGGTTTAAACGTAAATAGGATAACGGACAGACAGAAAAACTTTTAACATTTTTAATATGAATAAGCATTTCCAAAAAGTGGGGTTGGGAAAAGCTTTCTATCAAGATCGTGAGCAAAGTTTAGCAAAAAGTAATTTGGTTTTTAGGTGTAGGAATAGAAAAAAAATAAAGTTTGGATAGTAACTGAATTGAAAAACAGCAAGAAAATGTTTAATATATGACATAAATCAATTGATTTGAGACGAAAATGTAAACACAGCAATCGATTAGAAGACGTCAAACGTCTGTAGCGAAATATCTCATTAATGAACTTTGATAAAGCATGTCAAGTCGTCGTTTATCGGACGTTGCACCGACATACGCAAAGCACTTGCCAGAGGTTATAGTTATTTGGTCTGATAAAATGTCATTTGTTTAAAATAAATCTAACAAGTATTGTTTGAATTATTTATTAGTACATATGTACTTGAAGAAATAATATGAACTTCTGTCATGACTCATGGATATCTATATACATATAATAAAACTGTAGAGGTCGAATGTCTGTATATTATATACATGGCTAATAATTATTATTTATATCTATTTAAAACGTACCCAGAGCTTCACCTGAGAAAAGCGAGGTAAGTCGCTAGTGCAAGATAAAATCCGAAAAGATTGTTTATTTTAAAATACTGAGTAAGTTTATGCATGTAGGTATTGTATATACATAATAATTTCTCTTTCAATTGCTTTATAAAACGTACATTAATGATATTTATTATTACATTTTCCAAAAGAACCATTCAAGGTGTTGCGATGAAATATGGGGTATGTCAATCGTTTACTATAATTAATTTCAGTTACTAACTGTGCTTATGTATCAAATCTATATACCTCCCGAACGTCGTATTTATGTAAAACTTCGCAGTTATTTGAAATCTGGATGACAATTCAATAATATATAGATACTATAGAGAACATCTGAAGATGAAAAGTGATACTCCTAAGATGAACTTTTGTATTAATTAAGTTTTTTTAATGAAAAATAAATGGACTACATAGTTTGATTGTTAATTTTAGATAATATCTTATTTTTAGATTCCGATGACATATGCGAAGTAAGTGAAATCCGCATTACTCCGTGCAAGAACAGTAAGGTCTGTAAAATCAAAAAGGGTACAAGTCCGTCGATGTCCTTTGACTACACGCCCAGTAAGTATCAAATTCCTACCACAAATTACATATGTGGTATCAAACACACATACTATCGCATTTATAGTTGTATTAGCATCGCCCGCGGCTCCGCCCGCGTTCAGATGACCAAAAACCAAATTCTTATGTTTTACATACATATTAGTATACTCTTACATTGCAGTTTTTGTATTTTTTCTCGGAAATGAGATATTTTCCAGCGGTAAAAAGTATCCTACATGTTGACCCGGATAACCAGCTATCATCATACCAAATTTCATCAAAATCTATCCAGTGGTTTTCCCGTGATGCGGTAACAGACAGACAGACAATAATTCTAAACACTATAGATTCGGCCTCAAAGTCTATTTCAATAAGATTTATTATTTATTATTATTCGACTTAGTTATAATTTTATTATATGTATAGATTATGATAATTGTGTCAACCTAAACCCATCATGTACTTACAGAGTTCTCCTGCGACAAACTAAAAACTGGTCTCTTCTGGGCCAGTGACTCTGGAGACGTTCCCTTCCCAGCGCTATATGACGCTGACGCGTGCGAATTGACCAGCTGCCCGATTGAAGCTAATAAAAAATACGAACTTAACCATACTCTCAAACTGAGCAAGAAACTACCTCAAGTTAGTATTACTTGTCATCAAATTCAAAACACTGTTATTAGAAAGGAAACTTTTTTTTTGTTACTCGATATACTAAACTTTTTTTTTCCTGTTAGTTGTTAAAAGGGTAAAAGATTGTAATGCAAAAAAATGGGCTAAAAATTTATTTAATGAACATATGTAGCGTGAAGCCGCGACTTCTGCTATAATATATATATATTGACTGCCTCGGTGCTGTAGTGGCTAGCATGTACGGCTGCACACTCGGAGGTCCTGGGTTCGAGTCCCGGGTCGGGCCAAGTTTAGTTATTAAGTCTTTCTGTATAGTAAGTCTCAGTAACAGCCCGGAGTTGGGAAGTTGGCGGTGTTTCACCCCCGTGCCTCGGAGAGCACGTAAAGCCGTCGGTCCTGCGCCTTAACTCTCACTGGTCGTGTCAAGCAGTCGTCCCACCGGAGTAATGAGAGTGACAGGAATAGAGAGTGCACTTGTGTCTGCGCGTACACTTGTGCACTATAATATCTCCTGCGCAGTTGGCTAGGCTCAATGAGATTGGCCGCCGTGGCCGGAATCGGCTAGGAGAACATCATCATCATCATATATATATATATATATATATATATATATATATATATAATGATATAAATAATGATACTTATTACGCTATGCAATGATATAAATAATGATTATTATTGCGAAGAAATTAATTTAAAATTATTTTAAACGAAGGGCTTACTCTTCGTGCCCATCATGTAAAGGTATATATATATTTATTATGTGTTACTCCAGACCGTATCACATTTTTTATTCGAGTCAGGAGTGTGATCATGGGCAATTCTTTTATCGTGACACACACACGGAACTGGGGGGAAAACTATTAGTGAAACAACAATCGCCACTCCTAGCATTCAAGCATGATCTAACCCATGTACATAGACGTATAATTGATCTCGCTAGTAAATATTTTCTTTCTAAAAGTATTTTTTCTAACTGTGCCACTTTTATATCTCTATATTTTTATCTCTTGTAAACATTTGTGTATTTTCTATTTTTCAGGGTAAATTCATTTTCAAGTGGAAGCTGTGGAACGCTGATAATCCGAGTCAGTCCTGTTGCTTGCAGACCAACGTCGAGCTTAGATAACTTGTTATTGTATAAAATTATATAACTAAATGAATAAATAACTTTATTTACGTCTACTTAGACTATATGATTTTCATTCTATTAGATACTAACAACGAAAACATATTCAAATTTAATAGTATTTATTAATAATAATTGATACTGAGTATAAAAAGTAAGATTAGCATTACATTTAACTACAATAAATTGCAGTACAATAACATTTAACTATAATAAATTGCAGTACCATAACTTATCAATTGAACTGGATAATTATTAATTTTTAAATTTAATTTTTGTGATAAATAATAATAATTATTTTTATAAATAAATTTGTGTAACATTTTTAATAATAAATATTAATTTATATTGATAATATTTTTATAAAAAACCGCACTTGGTTAGCATGGTGGACTATGGCCTCATTCCTCTCGTATTGAAGAGAGACCTATGCCCAGCAGCGGGACGTTAAAAAGGGCTGTATACACAGATATTCGACTTACACAAGTAATAAATTTTGCATTTTCATATGAAACTGAGGTATTTTACCGCACTATATTGCTAAATCTGTTAATAGTTAACCCTGTTATTAATAGTTTTGTGTAATAAATCTCTAAAATGAACGACAACTCGGTAAGAGGTATAGAAAATGTTGACACGAGTAATAATTTTTCGCTACACAAAATTTAGTTAAAATCCATTCAGTTCTTTTTGTGTGAAAATCAAACAGATAAATAGACAAACAGATATACAGACATAGAGACCAAAAATTCAATAATTATGATATTGGCGTCTATATTCTATATTTTGTACATAATACGTAACAGTCATTGTTCTTAAAAAATGTTGCATGTACAGATTTCGCTTTGTTACTATTTTTATATACGTAAAATAGTTAATATGTCACAAAAATAAAAAAATCGTACATTCATTTATGATGTACTCTTAACAAAGCAAAAACATGTTATTCAACTCTAAATAACAAAGTTAAACTATAAATAAAATTTATACTGCAAATAAACTAACTTCAGGTCGGAGCAGATCTGGTCCATCTGGCGTTGATAACGTTAACCAGGACCATAATTACTGTTATCAATAAAATTATCACAAACAAGGCCTGTTTAAACAAAACAACAAAGTATCTTATTACAACAGAATGACTACTTCATTTAGTAATCGTTGTTTGAACAAAATGGACGCGCGTGTGCTGTTCCTGTGTCTAGCGCTGTTTGCCGAAGTCCAGTTAGAGTACGTGAATAAGAAGTTTTGTAGAAATGGTAAGGCAAAGTATATACTGTACGTAAATTATTTTTCATATTTTGTTTCTAAGGGATGTTTGTAGTGTATATAATTCAAAAGTTTTTGACAGACTTCAAGAATGGACACAATTAGTGTATTAGGTACCATTTGTGTGTATATTTTGCAATATCTTCGCCAAATTTTAACCGATTTTGATTATTTGTTTATGAATAACAAGTGATTTACTCACCTTGTCACCGTAGATACGTTTTAAATAGATATGAATAATTATTGCGAGTGTACCTTAGGAGAAAGACTTATACAATTGCAGATTTTTCTGTATACATGTATGTGTTTGTATGTAGGACGTCTCGACAGAATCAGTTATTGTGTTTTCCCGCGGGAACAAAAAGTTTTCCTGTAGTAAAAGGTATAGTAAATGTTGACTCGAGTAATAAGTTATCACTGCACAAAATTTTGTTAAAATCGATTCAGTACTTTTTGAGTGAAACGCGCTCATCGATTTCGCGAGGGTACTGTTTTATTATATAAATTTAATTTTATTTGTAGCACATCACTAGCAAATTTTCCGTCTAATCTGTAAAGCTCTTTATATTTTTTTAACGTACTATACGAGAAGGTGGTTTCAAGTAAACGTCTATTTATTTGGCGTAATATCTACTCTGAAGTGTTAACATACTGGGTGTCATTAGATGACACATACTTGTAGGATAACATCTAGTATATGTATAATATTTATTATTTAGAGAAAGAGATGGAAAAATATATTATTATTATCATTTTATCAAATGAAAATTGAAATAATTATCAAGGTATGAAATGTTTTCAGTAAATCAAAGTAAATGCAGCATCCACAGCGTCAAGATAGATCCATGCCCAGATGGACCAGGCTTTTGTCTTCTGCGACGAGGAAAACCGTACACGCTAAGTTTTGATTTCACACCACGTAAGTTAATATACACCTTCCTAATGTTAATATTAATACTTACTAAATGTACGAGAACAAAATATCCATGTAAAAATTACGTTAACTGACTCCATGATAAAAAAATACACACGTTTTTTTCAGATTTTGATGCAAACAAATTAAAAATGTCCATCTATAGTGATAACGACAACTCAGGAACTTTCAATACGGCTGTGACGCCTCCTTTAAACGCTTGCCAGCGGCATGCTTGTCCGCTGGAAGAAGATGTGCGAACGGTTTTTGATACTGATTTTGTGTTTGATACGAAAGCACACGTGAGTATGAAAACTTATGTGAAAGTAGCGATTCTATACTTACTGTCTTTGTTCCTATTCCTATCAATTCTCTACTACCATTTTTTTTAACCGGCTTCCAAAAAAGAGGTTCTCAATTCGTCGGAATCTTTTTTTATGAGGTTGGCACCGACTTCGAAAATATCTGATTAGGTATGTATTCTAAATGAAAACCCCCGTTCAGTTATTTTTTACATTTTAGTGCCTGGAAGTCAGGTTTTTTTTTAAATAGTTTTGTAGGTTTGTAGGTTTTGGTGCTTTGTACACTCTCTTCCTCTAATATACATTCCACACTAATTTCTTGAAGAAAATGCTTAATTTTTCATATTATATAACAGGAGTTACAAATCACGTAGATTGAATGATTGTGAGCAAACAGTAGGTAACTGTTGAATACGATTAATGTAACGCTAAGCCAGAATAAATCTGTTTCCTTTCTTTTCAGGGTAAATTCCCACTTGAATTCAAGCTGTGGAACGAAGATGATGAATCCCAAGCTTGCTGTTTCTCTTTTAAAGTGAACATGTTGAAATAATATTTTATTACTTGTTACTTGTAGTTTATAAAATAAAATTTAAATCTTCGTATTATAATTTTTCTTTGAAAACTCTTCTTTGGCCTTTTCATCGTCACACTACATTAATATCGTGTATTGCGAATTCAACAAACTTTGTGTCATAATGAACGAGAGAGATCTATCAATATATTCTTCAGATTCTCAGAATGATATTTTAAGCTTTAGAGTGACGAATTTGAAAGTGCTCCTGTGTTTGCACACACATTCGAAAACTATAAAGCTTTGCGTGCGTGCGTGCGTGCATTTGGCCTAATTAGATTGGCCACCATACTGATATTGGTCAATATCAATAATATTAATCAGACTTTAAATTAATATACTAGTGAGTATGTTCACTAATTCGGGTGTAGTGTTTCATTAGAAAGTCTAAAATCATTTTGTTTTGTCATTTCTCAATGTGACATTATTAAGTTATTGATCCTTTTTTTATATAAATAGATATCGATGTATATGTCAATCATACACCAAGTTTAACGAGACAAACAAGGAAATCTTAGTGCTTGACCAATTTTTTACGCTATATCTTCACTTCGTAAACTGATTTTAACAATAAAAATTAAATGAGGTGTCTATGGCACGGTAATATTATATAACATTACCGTGTCTATGCACCCCCGTCGGAATGAAGTCCCTTTGGCTTTATGGTAGACGTTTGCTATAAAGTCATTATAATTTATATTATAAAATATCAAATAGATCGAGTTCAATTAAATAATTTACAATGAAATATATTTATTGTGTATAAAATAAATAATGATAAATTAAACACTGAATGATCTGGGATAATTAATCCAATAAAAATTTAAGAACTGTATAAATCTTATTTTATTAATAATATTTTTTTAATTTTAGAAATAAATATTGAGTAATTAACTATAAAAATATAAATAAAAGTTAAAAAAAAGCCGAAGAGTAGAGAGCCGTCGAGTCTTTTGGCTCGCGGGAGAGCTGTGTGCAGCGATGTACTTAGTTCACCGTACAGCCGTGGCTGTAACAAGAAGTGTCGGGAAAAAGTCTTATTACACTTTTTCAGTCTCGCTCCCATCCGCTCAGAGCGTGTCCAATTATTGTTTTTTTATGAATTGGATAGCCCCATATTTAATTTCAAATATTTAAACCACCACTATACGTGGAATTATATTTGAAGTATTATAATAATATTTTTTTTAATCAAAAAGTAATTATAATACTTCGTAAACACGATTGGTTAGTTCGGTATATATTATAACGAATAACGCTGCAGTGTATACTAAAAGTAAACAAAGAAGTTTTAAAAGAGATCCTCTTATCGCTTGATCAGCAATTATACACTTTCACATGACAGACCAATCAAGACCTTACATGGATGAAATGATCGTGTATATTTAATTTAAATGAAATCGGTATTAGAAATTTGATTCATTTGTTAAAGGTATTTGTTTTTCTAAATCTTTTTTTTTTAAATTTATAAACTTAAAAGTTGAAAAGTTTATTGACATCACTTATAGTTAAGCTTAAAATTAACTCGCCCTCGCTTCGCACAGGTTCGTCTCTAGGTACATTTTAACGGTTAGTATAGATTAGATAAACTATGTATTAAATGATACATGTAGCCTTATTAAGCCTTCCTCAATAAACGGGCTATCTAATGTAAAAAGACTTTTTTTAAATCGGATTAATAGTACAAACAAACAAACAAACAAACAAACAAACAAACAAACAAACAAACAAACAAACAAACAAACAAACAAACAAACAAGCGAACGAATGAATGAATGAACGAAAAAGGCTTTCTTAGACATCTTTTTTCTATGTAGTATGCTCATACTGGTAATTAATTTTCAAAACGATATTTGCAAATGAAAATCTCAAAGTTGACAGACGTACACTTTACCTACTAATGGACTACAACCTATTGGTTGCTAGCTGAAAAGCTACAGACAGTAGCTAGTATCTAATTATATTAATATATTTTAATCGTTTGGTCTTTGTTCTATATCTCATTTATGGTTCAACTAAGATCTGACACGTTCCTATTTAAGATACAGATCTAAAATACTTATACTTTTTACACAACTGGTCTAAAATTTATTTTAACGTAAACGGCTTAATGAATTTTATTTTTTTGTAATTGTATGTTACATAAAATAAATTTTGTGTACAGTCGAGTATTTTAATTTTTTTTAATATAATTTTTTTAAAGCATCTCCAAGCCTGCTAGAATCGTATACGGCCTACATTGCTTATTACCTAGGTACTGGAAACTAGTCTAGATCGACCGCGGGCTACGTAATCATTGCGCCCGGACGTTTCTTAGTTTCCAAGTTAATGCTAGAGCAGAGCAAATTGCACTCCAGATATAGGTTAGGTTGGTACTTGGTGATAAATGAGAATTGCGATAGATATCACATGATTAAGGTCTATAAAATGGCGTTGGTTCTAACAACGCCATATTTAACTCTGCAGATAGAATCTGAAGGAGAAGATTTAGTTTCTTTAAAAAAGTATAGTTTGATGTTATAGCTGATTTATAGAGTTCTGGGCTATTTTTTAATTATTTTCAGTTGTAATAGAGTTGAAGAAATGTATTACAATTTTGTAACACAGCGGGTCTCTAACCTGAGTTCGTAGATGGCATGCTTTTTCGCTTTAACCAACTGCTGTTTTCTTGATTCGATTATTTAATTTATATGAAACATCATACCAAAGGTACCTTAATTTATACTTTATGCTTGTCTTATTATGTAAAATAATATGTATGATAATCTACTAACACTTTTCTTTGTACTAAATTTAAGGAATTTCAACTACTCGATACGATTTGTGCCCTTGTGTCCTACATCCCTCAACGGCCGCAGGCATACCAGTGAGCATACGTACATCTCATCAAGTCATCAAACATCATAGTTTATAAGATATCAAAGCCACAGAAGAGTTACATAGCCGAGGAAACACATATACGATTTTTAATAAGAAAGCCGCTAAAAAAGTGCGTTTAAAAATGACATAAAATTGTGTATAAAATATTTAAAACGTGATGATCTGAATATTATTTAACTTTAATCGCAGACAAAAATAAGGATTTCCGTGGGATTATATAGATAGTAGAGAGCCTCTCGTGTCTAAAGTGAAGTGAGGGCGGGCCGGTATTCCATAATATGGAAGAAAAATAGAAACTGGTAATCGGCAATCGAAAGTCATTACTGTTAACAACCCGTCTTATCGCGCCCCACTTGATAACAGCCTGAACCCGCGACCGCTCCCTCGTTGTAAAAACAATAAAATAATTCTTGGACTTTCTAGACTTAGGTATTTCGCACATTATGATTACGCTTATATTTTAATTATTTTATAGATATATTTGTTAGAATAGAGAACCTAGAGAAATAAGGAGTAGTAAAGGAACTTTTTAAAAGCAATTTTGTATGGGATATTCTCAGAAATAAATATTTATTCAATAAAAAAATAAACCTGTGACTATCATTAAAGTAAGCAATACTAGATAAATGCTACAAATCTAACTTTTACCAATATAAAAAATCCATATACAAAAAATATTCGAAGTTCTCAATTTCTCACACAGGCTAAATCACAAGACCTGAAATGGAAAAATATTAACAGCCCATTACTATACTAATATAGATATACACTAAAAAGGATTTCTTTTATCTTTAACGTATGAGTTAGTGTGACAGCGGGGCTGGCGCATTTTTCGCCCAAAGAATCGGTATAGCCATTCAGAGGAGGAATGCAGCTAACATTCTTGCCACTATTCCACGCGGACATGACTTTTACAGTAATAATTAAGTGTACATTTTTTTTTGTATACATAATTAAGTATATTTGTAATTTCCTTTATTGTAAGCTAGGACTCATCCTCGGTTTGCTTGGGTTCAACGCGAACTTTCATCTTCATTTTCACATCGCCCCACCCCCCTCCTCCCCCTCCCCATCCCCCCTCCCAAAGAGATAATTTCCGGGATAAAAAGTATCCTATGTCCTTCCCAGGATCTCAAACTATCTTCTTACCGAATTTCACCTAAATCAGTTTAGTAGATCCAGAGATTATCAGAGGTCACAAACCCACAAACTCACAAACTTTACCTCTTTATAATGTTACTAGCGACTCACCCTCGCTTCGCTCGGGTTCGTCCCTACATTGATTCCCCATACAAACTCCATTTTCACCCTCTTAAGGGATGATTTTCAGGATAAAAAGTATCCTATGTCATTCCACGGGTCTCAAACTATCTTCTTACCAAATTTCATCTAAATCGGTTCAGTAGATCCAGAGATTACCCCCTGCAACGTCACAAACTCACAATTCACAAACTTTACCTCTTTATAATATTAGTATAGATTATAGATAAAGTAAAAAAAAGTATGTCTTAAATGAATGTCGAGTATGTGTGCAAGTTCTAAACAAACTGCAAAACCGGGGAATGCGGGGTGAACGGCCCTCACTGCCCGTCCACCTGGATGTGCTTTCAGAGCCACTTATTGATACGTTATATAGAAATCTAGAATTGTTTTATAGAGGATATTATTGAGTTAGCTTTATATGTTTACGACTTAAAATTAGAAGTACACTTAAAATTAGAAGTTATCCAAAAATTAGATTGAGGTAACATGATAGTTTGACGATACGTTTGGCTCTGTTTTTAGTGACCCTACTTGCTATGCTAGCGGTCCGGGTTCGACTCCCGTTGGGGGCGGGCATTTATTTGTGTGTATTTGTACTCCAGTTATGGGTGTTTATATTTACAATATGTATTTAAAGTTATATATGTGTAGTGTATCAACTATCTGGTATCCATAACACAGGCCTCGTAGCTTACCATGGAACTGATGGTGCTGTGTGTTAATATCCCAACTCCCAACATATTTATATTTACTTATAAATTATAATTAATATTAATAAGTCTTACTAACTAATTTAAGTTAATTATATTATAATTATATTATAGATGTCTAAT